ACTCCCAGTCTCTAAACTGAAATTACTGGAAAGCTTTTAGAACACCAGTACCTTTGAGCTATTGAAAGGTTACATTTTACATTCACTTAGGTAATTATTTGACTAATTTGTTTTCTTTTCGCATTGTATAGAGCCTTTGATAAAGTGCTCATTGAAATTGTCTGCTCATGCGAACACCATTCACAGTACCACACAACTGTGAAATTGGATTAATGTGAATATAATTTTTATTAGAGGATTTATTTGAAGTGATTTGCTTTACTGTCACCTCCTTTTGTCTAAAGCCCCAATTGTTTTCTGTAGCCACTCATTAATATTTTATGATAATAATTTTATTATCAATGTTGTCAATTTCCGTCTATTGTCACTTTCTGTGAGTAAAGGACAAAACGCGATGGTGCACAGACATTATAATTTTTCTGTCACAGCTATCAGATCAAAGCATGCATATCGCACTCTAATTACAATGGAATCGAAATCTTCACAAGAATTCAGCAGGAATCACTGAAGAGAAAGTGATCTGTTCACTTAGCAAAATGGTTCAAAGTGACTGTGCTGCTTTGGAAAAAAAACAACACATCATCTTGAAGAGAAGGAGTTGTTCTCATTTCAGGCGAATGGTTTCTTTCAATTTGCAAGCTCTTCACCCCAAAAAACCCAGTGTCAATAAGTATGTGATGAGAAGGCACTGGATATCCTACGAGTGCCTTGAGCCAAGTGATCAGAGGGCTATAAAGTTAAGATAATCACTAAAATAATTAATCTTTCCAATGTGTAACTAGAATGTGGGAATCTTTGGCACACACCATTGATTGTTAAGGCAAAGTCTATTCACTATTTTATAAAAAAGGAAATTAGATATGAGTTGAAAAAGAGGAACAGTAAAAGGGTATGCGGAAGGGAACAAGAGAGTGGGATTATATCAGGCGTCTCGAAAACCAGTGCAGAAATTATGTGTGAATGACAACTACAAATTATGTTTGTACAGCGCCTTTCACGTCGGGAAGATGTCCCAAGAAGCTAGACAAACAGGAATTTGGACCCAAACAGGGGGTTGGGATTAGGAGGGGTGGAGGGCAGGGAGATAGGGGTAGGAGGGTGACCAAAGGCACAGTCGAAGAGGAGGGTCTTGAGACGTGCCGTCAGGGAGGCAAGGGAGGGAGCGAGGTGAAGGGAATGTGGGATGGAGTTCCAAAGGGTGGGGGCAAAGAGGCTGAAGGCCCGACCACCAAGGTGGAATAGTCCGGGTGGGAGACGAGGAGCAGGCTGGAGCCTGGTGAGCGAGCAGGTTGATATAGTGTTGTTAGGTCATAGATGTAGGAAGGAGTAAGGCCGTGGAGGACTTTGAAGACGAGGACGAGGATTTTGAACTCTATCCTTTGGGGAATGGGGAGCCAATAGAGCCGGGTGGGTGTGGTATGGTCACGGAGCCTCGTGTGTGAGAGGACACGAGCTGCAGAGTTCTGGATGATCTGCAGTTGTCACAATAGCCGATTGCTGTTCCAAGGCTTTCTTATTGTATATAATCTACAAATGGATTCCTGTAGCTCAGTGGTTACAGCACTCGCTTTGCAAGAGAAACCTGGGTTCGATTCCTGGCAGGGTGAAATCTTGGGCAAGTTTCCTTACTCCACACGCCTGATAATAATCCCACAAGAAAAAAAAACTATAATAAATTGGGTCATTTCAATCCAGGACTGTTTGTGGGACACTGCTGTGCACAATTGGCTGCAGCATTTCGCCCACAAATATTCAGTCAATTCACTTTACAGTCTATTCTGTGAAGCATTATGAGACGTCTAGAAGACATGGAAAGCGCTATATCAAATGCAAGGATTATTATTATTATCCTTATAAATGTGTCAGCAGGTTATGAGGTGCTTTCCATTGCACCTGTAGAAAATCTTCTCTTATTAGTCTACCACCATGTGTAATGCTCCAGTCAAGGAGAAAGACAGGTGATTCCCTGCAAAACCAAAAGTACACTGTGGCCTTGATTTTCTTTTCATGAAATTTATGAGAATGCGATGGATAAATTGTATTTCCACCTGAAAATAAACTGTCTCCATTCAACAACTTCCTTGAACAACTGAGGAGTATCACAAGGGCAGGCAGCCTGGGGTGAGATCCATCAAAAGATGATTGGCATGATTGGCTTTGTGGTCTTTTTCTATTGCTGATTGGGATAACTTGCTTGCAACTCAATGGAACAGCTTGTTTAGGCTTTAACCCATTGCTCTGCCATCCACCATATAATCTAATTATACGAAAGCCGCTTGCTTTACGCGTTCCCATGGTAACACAATTCCACAAAGAAGGAGCACGATCTGTTGCTACTGATTAATGTGGTTAAAAATGCATTGTGCTCTGCTTCTGGCTTCTGAGTGGCATGCAGACTTGTGATGGAAAAAGAAAATCCACAATCCATTATACTTGAGCAATAACCATTATATAGCAAAAACTACCATTCCTCATGAATAGATTGATTGATCAGTGTTGTAAGACCAGATTGCTTAAAGTAAAACAAAATTAAGATCAGTGCAGAGGTTGATAATAATCCTTACATTTGGTACAGGGCCTGTTAAGAGGATGTCCCAAAGCTCTTCACAAAATATATATGAGTGAAGTGACTCTGTGTTTTGTAGATGAAATGCTGCAGCCAATTTTACAGAAACAGCTGTAAGGTGAATGACCAATTGTATCAGCAGGATTGTTGGCCAGGACATTGAGAGAAACTCTCTTGTCGAATAGTGCCATGGAATCTTTAACGTCCACCTGAATAGGTAGATGGGTTTAACATCTGATCCGAATGATGAAACCTCCGACAGTATTGCACTGAAGTGTCAGCTTAGACTATGAGTTCAAAGACCCACCGCGGGACTTGAACCCACAACCTTTTGACTCAGAGCTGAAAGCGCTAAGTGCTCTGGGACACTACGGCTGCGTGAGGGGCGCTACATAAATGCAAATTGTTGTTTTTGTTGCTACTGACAAAGATAGGCTGGAATCATTTTCTCAAATTCCACCAAATTCTCCATCAATATATTAACATGGTCAAAGAAGACTCTTGCTCTTTCTCCCTCCCCTTTGGGATCTTATTATATTCAATATGTTTAATTGAGCTCCTCTTGGAGCCAAGGAAGTGACACTCACCCTCTGGTTCATGGAATAGAAAAATCACTGCATGATTGATTAGAATTCTCAGATCCCAAAGAACACAATTGGGGAGTGAGAAAGAGTTTTACTTGACCGTGCTAACCTATTGATTCAATGCCCGAATTAAAACTTTGGAAACATAAGAAGCAGTTTCAATTGCGAGATCTACAAAACAACTACAAATCTACATCAAATGCAAGGATTATAAATCGCGAAATCTGGCAAATTGAAGGGGAAAAAAAGAGTTGGCAAGCAAAATCAATATTTCTTGACCCAATTTGTGAGTCTTGCCAATTTGCTCATTGCAGATCAGCGAATACGATTTATTTCCATCTTGCGAGTAATAAAGACAGATTTTCAAACAAATTGATGGGATTATTGATTGAAACCATGGTACAAATTATTCCGATGTAATCTGTTTCAAACCTTATATAGATTATGCAGTATTATATGAATAAAAGGACTCAAGTAAAAATCTCACTACTCTACATTTTGATGAGAGCTTAGTAACATGAGGAAAAGCTATCCCAAATGAAAAACATTTTACATGTTCTGTAAATTTCAGTAAAACAAATAGGTGGGGGGAAAAGACAAGTACAATTTCTTTTTTAAATTAAATTTCTTGTACTTTTATAAATGTATAAGGAGATTTACTCTAAAGCGAAGTCTCCTACTGCTAGCACAAATTTACCATGCTACAACACAAAATTATTCAATAACCTTTCATTCTCGAGTGAACAGAAACTGTAATTTTCTAACATTTTGGAAGAGTGCATGGTAGATATTGAAAAACCATGACACAGAGTGCCACCTCTTTACAAGTATCAACATTGCCTTCAAGAAGAGTATTGGAATCAAACATAACTGTAATTTTCTAACATTTTGGAAGAGTGCATGGTAGATATTGAAAAACCATGACACAGAGTGCCACCTCTTTACAAGTATCAACATTGCCTTCAAGAAGAGTATTGGAATCAAACATAAAAGTCTTAAGGTTGTGAATAATCAGTGCCCGAGATCTATCCAGTGCCACAATGTCTGCAGAGGCCTGAGGCATTGGACAACAAGGGTGAGTCACTGAAGGAATAATAATAATAATAATAATAATAATCCTTGCATTTGATATAGCGCTTTTCACGTCGGGAGGACGTCCCAAAGCGCTTCACAGAACACACTGTAAAGTGAATTGACTGTATATTTGTGGGCGAACGCGGCAGCCAATTGCGCACAGCAATGTCCCACAAACAGTCTTAGATTGAAAATGACCAATTTATTATTGTTTTTGGTTTTGGAGGGATTATTATTAGGGTTGTGTGTGGAGTAAGGAAACTTGCCCAAGGTTTCGCCCTGCCTGGAATTGAACTCAGGTCTCCCACTTGCAAAGCGAGTGCTCTAACCACTGAGCTACAGGACTCCACAATAGTGTTTCAATGAGTATTTTCAGCAGTGATGGAAAAGCTGGTTAGGTATTTCACACTAGGCTGATGCTGTACTTCTGGAGATCTCTTTAGGCTAAGAGGATAGCTAAAACGCTAAAAACTTGGGTTCCAAAAAAGCTAACTCACTTGGTTCAAGAGTGAAAAGTAAAATTCTTGAGTTAAAGGGCAAAAAAGAGTTTATAAAGCAAAAGCTTTGTGTGGATTTGCAATTGGATGGATTTGATTTTCTGCCTGGATTTCTGTTCAACCCTAATAAAGAATCTTGAACACAGATATTCTGGAACGAGGTCCAAAATGTTTGAGTGCTTTGCCTATTCATCAGTCCCACTGCAAGTTTGAAATAATGAAGCTTCCTGAAATTAAAGAGAGATCATGAAGAAAAATGATCAAAATAAATTTGCTTACATTTTTCCAATGCATCCATTGCTGCTCCCATCTCTGCTTGCTGAATGCTATTTAAAACAAAACCATTACTGTATTATAATGAGAAAACCAGGCAAAGGGAATCATAATATGACTCAGTGGCACAATATGTGAGGAAACACTTAGGTTATATAACATACAACCATTACAAGCAGTCCAAAAAGGGGCTAAATGAACATCTCTTTTCTCTCAATACTGTAGTGTCTCAATTGAATAAGTTATCAATTTTAATCCTGTGGAACCCCTCCAGGTGCTAACCTAACAATTTTAGGGCGAAAGGAGAGAGCAGTGCTACTATTCAGGTCAAAGAGGTGCAGAATGAGTGCTCATACATTTAGGTCTTAAAAAGCATTACATTACACAGAAGAATCTGTGTATTACTTCCAGTTTGATGTAACCCATTAAAGAGAGGATGGTAGTGAAAAGAATATTTATTACTGTTTTTAATGTATGTAAGTTATATGTTTGAATAAATTTTCATGTTCATTAGGCTGTATAATACCAATGCTGTCAAATGGAATAAATTACCCTTTTGTATCAGCGTCAAAGGGGATACTTTACTATTTTTTTTCGCTTTAACAATGTACCTTATCACCAATCATCAGCAAAGCATCTTTTATTGGACCATTTTCCGTACCTCAAAACCTCTCAGAGAGGGAGAGAGAGAAAACACAGTTCTGTGCTGCGCACCCACTGCTGGTGGCATTGACAGTACAACCTAATTTCATGAATGGAGCTGATATTTGAGAAATAGAGACAAGAGAGAAAAAAAGACTTTCACCCCCATTAGAAACCCAGGTCTCAAAGGCTGAAGAACAGATTTGTAACCTACTGTATCTGAATCCCAACTAGCACAATTCAATGCACCTCCTTTTATTCTGAGTGCTTCAAAACTAAAATACGAACGAACAGGAAAGAAGTTTATGAGACAGTGGGCACCAGGAAGTGAGAGCTACATCAACAGCAGCCTGAGGTCACTACCTAACCAAAGATGAACTACGCATCATTCCTCTATTTCCTCACTTCACCTCAACCCCACCCCCAGCTCAGATGGAATGTTTTCCAGAAGGGAGAAGGGAAGTCATTGGTTTGAGAAGCAAATTGTGTTTAGATACTCCTAGAAACCAGTTTTGCATGCCTAGCTTCTGGTTTCAGAGAGTACATTATTACTTCTTTGTCCAACTGGGCATCTGCTCTGAGGCGATGCGGCTAATCCTTTGTAATAGGATGACTTCTGTGGCAGCACATTGTTAATCCAGACCTGCCTGTGTACACTAGCCGCACCAGAACACTGCGTGAATATGTGTCCTCGGCGTCGAGTGTTTCACATTCCCGTGGAAAGCTCTGCTAGACAGCAATATCCTTGCACCTGTTCTTGGCGTGCAGGGTGAATGCAAAATTAAACACTGCCTATAGATCAGGGATTGCTGGAGCATAAGGAAGGAAACATGAAGGTCTGTAATGTGACCATTGGTAATTCCTATACAATATAATTCAAGCCTTTGAGAGGTCTCAGAAGCCACAAGTGTCCATCTATTGAGAATCTGCCCTTGAATTACAATGTAGGATATCTATTCCATTCTGATCTGCCATCAGCAAAGAGGATGATCATAACACTATAGTGTAGTTCATATTACATACAGTAAATTTATTCCCCTCATCTTTTCATTCCCTTCCCCCCCTCACCGCGCCCCCCATATCCATCTCTTGCCTTGACTCGCAAATCTATTTTTGCTGCAATATACAGTTGATACTCTGGGATAGAATGAGAAAAATCTATGACGGCAGTTTTATTATTAATGAAAATGACAAACATTCTGAGCTGTATCATTTGTAAAGTTGTTTTACTTTAATAACTCATTTATACCATCATAATAAATGGATAGTGGATGCAGTTTGGTTTAATATCATTAATGATAACACATTCCACGGTGTTCATTTATCAGTGTTCCTTAAGTCAGGTGGCAGTAGATTTATGGGAGGGAAGATCGAACACAATTGCAAAACAGTTATCATGCAGACACTGGTCCACGTTTTGAAATCTTCAAAAACATATTTAGTGTTTAGACCGAAGGCAGCGTGTTGCTTCACTAGTAAAATGCTCAAAGTATTCCAACAAAATTTGAAACCGGACAGTACTGAAACTACAGTGTGAACATTTTAAGTGGAGAAATTGAAAATATGTAATTGTCCTTTATTAAAATACATCTAAAAACGAAATAACTATAATCATAGCAGTGAAGGAGAATGCATGTGAAGGTGCTGTGTAGCAACAGAATGAAGGAATTAAACAAGTTATTTGGGTGCACGCAATTTCCTGGGCAATTTAACCTTTGCTTTGACACAAATTATAGATTCTTGAGACATTGCTTTGTTAAATAAATAATAAGGCATTTTCTTTAATAATCTTCTTTAATGGTAGTTCAGAAACCCAGAGAGAGAGATTGCATCTCTTTCTGCTGTCAAGTATGTAATTGAAACGAGTCGGGGGGGAAAAAAAATCATCAAAAATCAGACTTCAAAACACTTTACTTTGTGGAGAAGTTTAGATTGATGGCACAAATAATGCTGCAGGACTACAAAAAAGAGATGCTTTTATCACAATGTCTGTGATAAGTGATCCATAACAAAATATGCTAGGGGCAATTTATTTTGACTACTTGGCTAAAATAAGATGTTTTGGTAAATGACAGCATTGAGGTGTAGGCCTGTACGCTATTCGGTGTCCTCCTCATTCTCCCCACTTTGTCGTTTCCCCCCAAACCCCCCCACCCAGATGCCGAGCTTGCTTAGAGATTCAATTCAATATACATTTATATAGTGCCTTTCACATTAGGAGCATGTCTCAAAGTGTTTAACACTGCTGTCTCAGCATCCGATTAAGACTCTTAATAATAATAATAATCCTTGTTGAGGCGTCTCAACGCGCTTCACAAAATATACTATAAAACATTTTGTGGGGCCAAAATACACAATAATATCAACTAAGCTGAAGTCTATTGCTACCGTACTGTACTGGGGATTACCTGGAAAAAATGCTGCTTATCTCAGTTGCTCTGCCAAAGTCCATAGGATGATTGTGTTGCTAGACTATTTGTTTTTAGACAACAATAAATTACATTTGTATAGCGCCTTTCATGTCTGGAGAACATCCCAAGATGCTGAAACCCCCTATTGTTTTAGGCGATCCTATCAAGAAACAATTAGGTTTAATCCAGTGATACTGTGAAAAATTTGGTTTCAAAATAGTCTGGCACATGTTTTCAACCTTCTTGTAATAATATAATAATAATAAACCTTGCATTTGTTATATGGCCTGTAAAATCAAAACAGCTTAATGTGCTTCACAGGGAATTGCTGTCAAATGAGGTGTCTGTGCATTTGTAGGCAAGCATAAATGTAGGCTGCACATTAGCAGCTAACAATAACAGAGGCTAAGGTTGCAATGAGGTTTCTATTTCAGCTAGGGGAATGTTGTGTATACTGAGGAGTGACATAAAAATGGTATTTTTTGGTAAACACAATCTTGTTGTTGAATTCACCACGGTTTCTAATGTGGGTGATGAAGTTTACTGAAAGCAGTTACCTGGAGCAGAGTGAACAGAATGAAGATAACGAAAAGCAGGCTGAATAAGCAAGCAGAATTCCAACTCCGATTCACATTCACTGGTAGTGCAGCCAACAGTAAACTCATCTGCAGTGCATCAGCATCTAAAGTGCTCCCCTCCCAGGAGAAGTTAATTGAGAGGGAAGTAGTGGGAGGCAGTGCAGAGCTGAAAGATTTGTTTCAATCTCCACTTCTCACATTTGGGAGCCGCAGTTCAAATTTAATGCAAGGATCTCTCCTAACGGTAGCGGTTCACTTTCACAGGCAAATTAAGACGGGCTATTTTAGATTACAATTAATGCTGTGAAGATTACAATTAAGGAGCACAAAACCATTGAGTTTGTGGCTAAACTGCTTTATAATTCTCATCTCTGAAAGGCTCAGGGAAGGGCAGTTGGTTGGCAGAGATATCAGTGCAGCCCCCTGCAGGGTTATTTTGCTTATTAAGTCGCATAGCTGACTACATCAAAAAATACTTTGTTACCATAGACCACAGAATATTTTGTCATTAACAGCATTAAACCAAAGTGTAATATCCATATCCATTTATCAGAATGAAAAAAATAAGTCAAAGTGTTAAATCAGCAGAGGGATGTTAACGACATCTTCTTTGAAGAAGGCTTTATTATTAATGCTGTTTATAAACCATGGAGCTCGAGACCACTTGTATGACTCATATGCTGGGCCAATAGAAAAGTGTGGCCACAATTTTTCCGCGTAATCCGCTGTCAGCAGCACCCTCTGTATTAAAATCACTAAAAAATTTAAGTTTCTGGCATCGGGGCCTCTCTCGCTGTTTGTCCGATACTACTGTAAGCGGAGCAGCTCCGGATATGCATGCGCGGTGAGGCGCAAGCGGGACATGAGCTTCACTACACTTGGAGGCCCCCTGTTGAAATTGTCTGTGTGTCTCTCTCTATGTGTGTTTGTGAGTGTCTTTGTGTGACTGAGTGTGTCTCTCTCTATTTGTGTATTTATGAGTGTCTTTGTGTGAATGTGTCTGTGTGTCTCTCTCTCCTGTCTCTCTCCCCTCTATCTGTATGTGTGTTTCTCTGTGCCGGCATGTGTCTCTCCCTGTGTCTCTGAGTGTGTGTCTTACTGTGTGTGTGTGTGTGTCTCTTTCTCTGTCTGTCGTGTGTGTGTGTGTGTGTCTCTCTCTCTCTGGGTCTCTAGATGGTGAGCTCCTGTAGCCCCGCATTCAGGCCCTGGTCCTGAGTGTCTGTTTTGATGGATCTCCAGGACCTTCGGGCCTGCGCTAGCGTGTCATTGCCCACCCCCCCCCCTGACAAATGAGACACCCATTTTTTTGTTAAAGAAGAAATGAATTTAAAAAATTGCAATGTGTTATTTCCTCATGTTTTCAAATTTCCCTGCAATGTTTGGCAAACATTTCCACAATTTTCTATTGGCCCATAAGTTAGCCATAACAATAAATAGTAAAATCCTCATAAAAGTTCTGTCCCACAGTAACAAATGGATTTTGCAACATAAATATATTACTGAACCAACAGCACAAATTTTGAGGGTTATTTGATCACATTCTCTCAAGAGTGCCCACTCTACAACAACAATAACAACAACATGCATTTATTTAGTACCCTTCATGCAGGTCAGTATCTTAGAATGTCCATCCAACACGGTAACAAGCCGTTTCCTAAATTGTTTCAATCACCCTTTCTGGTTATCTGTTCCAGATGTTAATTACCCTTTGTGTAAACCTATTCCACTCTCATTTCTCATTCAAATAATAATAAATAAATAACTAAATAAATAATACATTATTATTTCTGATTATTATATTATTATTATTATTTATTACCCTCCACGTAAACCTATTTGACCCTAAGTTCTCATTCAAATAATACATAAATAAATACATTATTATTTATGATTATTATATTATTATTATTATTTATTACCCTCCACGTAAATCTATTCAACTCTCATTTATCATTCAAATGGTCAAGGGTAACACCATTTTGGATCACAATTGCTTGCAAATCTCCTGCACAGCCCAAATGGTATCAAAGCAACACTTTAAGATGGGACTTATGCTTACTCCAAAGATACATACCTTGGACCAGTGCCACAGCCAATTCTCTCCCCTTTAAAGTACACAGCAACAGTGTATGTCCTGGCATGAGATGGCCCCACTGTCTGAAGAATTCTGATGGAATAATAAGGGGTTAATTATTATAAAAAATAACTATGCTGAAATCTTCATAGATCCTGCAATAAACTGTAGAGCACTGCCCAGCTGTGTATGACGCTGGTTACACCACCACAGCCTCTTCCAAAAAATGTAGTGGGAACAGAGGGTCCAGTGAGAGCACTTATTTCACCTTAGCTATAAAAAGAAGAAACATTTCTCTGCATGTGAAGCACAAATAGATTTACAAGGCTATTTTCTTCTGTAGTTTAGGAAAGTGCTTTTTTTTAGGGGGGTGAGGGGCGAAAACAGAAATTTTCTTTTTTCCTTGAAGCAAATTCCTGAAACAAAATCTTTATCAAGCTCTGGTTTGCTCTGTCCTGTCCTGAAAATGAACTACATTTTGTTACCGGACTTCTTCAGGCTCTCCCAATACAGTACTTAAAAATCCTTTCAAAAAGAGAGAGAAAAATGAAAGCAATTAAATGCTTCCAGGCACTGCTGCATTGAAACAACCTTGAAGACAAAATAACACATGCACAGAAATAGTGAAAAGTATCGACAGTTCAAAGCACACAGGATAAAAGACAGAGAGACACCTATAAGTAGAGACACAGAGTACAGAGCCACACAAGGTTATCAACACACAAAGCCTAAGATATAGTGAGTATACCAAGCCTAAGACACAGAGAGCAAGCTAAAGAAAGTCAGAGACACATGGAGCCAGACAAACAGGGAAATATAGTGAAAGATTATTAACAGAGCTAGAAAAATCGGCATGGGTTTTATAGATAACCAGACAATACTGTGTATTTGTATAATGAGAGATGCTAGGTAAGAAATGCTGAGAGAAAAAGAGAGATATAGAGCAGGAGAGAGAGAAAAGAGGAAGGTGAAAGAGAGGGAGAGGGGAAGAGGGAGAGGAAGAGGGGTTATTTATCCCTTTTACATTCACTGAATATACAATACAATTTCTGCATAAACAGCTCTGGTATCAATTAATTTAATAAGGTAATGAAAGTAATGCAAGTATGCTTCGATATGATTATAACTCTTGAATCAATTAAAATATATGAGAGTGGAGAGACGCGTAAAGCTTTCAGCACATGTCCAATAAATACACAGCGAACAATGACTATTTTGAGCATTAGAGGTATCTCATCAAAGATGAGACTCACTTGTACAGAGGGATGTCTGGCTCTTTACCCTCTGTTCGAAGGGTCAGGCAACACTGTTGAAGTTGAGACTTGGGATCATTCCAATCCTGGTTTAGGATAAACTCCTGCACAGGCAACAAAAATGAAACATCAAATCAAGTTGATGTTGTATTTGATATAGAACCTTATCATGTCAACAAGACATCACAGAGAGCTTCACAGGAGATACTGTAAAGGCTGTGTGTATTTATGGGCAAAATCCTTTGCATGAATAATTCCCTCGACCCTTGAATCATTGAACATTCTGACAGACATTGGAAACTCAGAATGAAATATACATCGGTCAACAAATACTTATTGCAAAACTTCCCACACGTGCCTTAGAAGCAGACACAGAGCTCAACATAGCATAGGATTTACACAACAGTGGAATTTTGATTAACTGCCATAATATTGATGGTAAATGTCCACTACGAGAGACAGGCAGGCTCTGTGTTCGGCACAAAGCCTAACATGTTTTTCAGAGAGATTCTGTACCATATGGCCATCTTGCTCTGCTCAAAGAAAAGCTCAGTTTGATTTCCAGGAATAAAGACAAGACTGTATCTCAAGTCTTATTGATGAGTCAGGCAGATAAATGTCAACCACATTGTTCTAGCTCTCTCACACGGCGACACAATTGAATTTCCTCTGGCCCACAAATTCCATCGCAGTGCTGCACTGCTCAAAAAAAACCTTGCCTTTCCATCTCATCCTGACATACATTTCTCCACTGTTAGTCAGGACAGGGCACCCTATCAGATGGAAGAGAACAGTGCAGATAAGAGTGGGCGTCTTAAGAGTGGGTGGTTAACTGTGGTTTTCCTTGAGTAGAGCAAGATGGCTAATAAAGAGAAACAATGACAACTCTGGTGGAGTCAGCACGAATAGAGACAGGCGCTAGTCTTTTAATTAAGTGCATGGACATTCTGTGGAGTAAGGGAGAAATGAAATCTGAACCCGAGTGGGAGAGAGAGCGAGGGAGGAGGCAGGACTCGGTGTCTTAGTGAATTAGATAGTGGTAGCAATAGCACCTTCATTCCAGGACGAACTGGTGATGTTGAGCAACATTTGTTTTTAACTTATAAATTATTAATGTTTGACTTGCTATTGCTTGATTGTTTGAATTGAGCGACTAGGGATATACCTCAGGCCATTTTGGCAGCTCTGTAGGTTGCGCATCAGTCTTTGGACTGTAGCCCTGCTCAGCCCTCCGCTCTTTCCAGGTTAAAAAAAAGTGTATTACATCTTTTTAAAAATCCATCTGGGAGAAAGGCAGCTAAACGAGGTCTCCCTGGAGTTCCATTGGTTCCATGCCTGCGAAAGCTAGGGACTATGCGGGTATCCAGACCATTGATTGACCTTCCCGACTCATCAATAAAAATTAGGATATAGTCTTGGCTTTAATTCTGCAAGTCAAAGCTCTGAGAGCTAGGTATTGCTCCTAGCTGGACAAAAAAAAAACTTGTCTTTCCGTCTGAGCCTGATATGTGTTTCTCCACTGTTAGGTCAGGACGGGGCATTCTATCAAGTGGAAGAAACCAATGCAGCATTGCCCCAATACTGCACTTGAGTGTCAACCTAGACTGTGAGCTCTAAATCCCAACGTGAAGCTATACATGTGGCTTGTTTATTGTAGTAATATGTTGCAGAGTTAAATTGTTTACATAGCTGTTTAGCACTACTTCTAATGGACTGAAGTATTAGTAGTTTGCCAATAGGACAAACTAAGTGAAATGACAGGTTTCTGCTTTTAACACATGAGAACTGCAAAAAGATCTCCGGGCTGCAAAACCCACAATCAACTGAAAATAGTCAACACAGGTAGAGAGAATTTAATAAAGCTAAACACGCAGAGTAAAAGTAAACAAGTGAGGCAGCGCATACTAACCTTCAATCGTGGGAAGAAACATACATTCATGAAAGTACGGACAAATTCCAGCTCCTGGTCGATGTAAAGTGCTGCTATGAATGCTGAAAACAGTAATTAGAGCTGGGCTGTTAAATTATTTTCTATAATTTACTTTCAAGTTTCTTTACTCCACTCGCCTGATAATAAACCCTCAAGAAAAAAAAACGATAATAAATTGGTCACTTCAATCCATGACTGTTTGTGGGACACTGCTGTGCACAATTGGCTGCCGCGTTTTGGCCACAAATATACAGTCAATTCACTTTATAATATATTCTAAGAAGCGCTTTGAGACGTCCAGAAGACGTGAAAAGCGCTATATCAAATGCAAGGATTATTATTATTATTAAGTCCATCACTCACCCAACTCTAGCCTGTGACTCTACTGCTCAAGCCACAGAGCAAACACTGGTGTGATCTGTGTCGCTGCCCATCTCCCCAATCATCAGAGTGCGACTTTTAGCCATTCTGCCCTGCTCTCTGGAACTAAACCACCATAAGGCTTCTTTTCAACCGTGCTTTTGCCCCCTCCCCCAAATTCTGGTTCTTAGTCAACTCTCAACATAGAAATTGCCGCTATTAAATGTTATGACAGGTATTTGGCATGCTATGTTTTATGTTTAATCCAGATAGCTTCAAATCACTCTGGTTCAAATTGTTTAAAAAAATTAGACCCAAATACAGTATAAATACGTGAGAAATCATTAAACCTCCATATTTTTATAATAACGAAACCCTTGTTTTTGATATAACTTCTTATCATGTCATCAAAATGTCTTGAAAGGCTTTGTAGGACTTAAGAGTGTAACCACTGTATTATGTAGGGGAATGCGGCAACCGATTTGTACACAGCAATGTCCCTTAAATAGTCACAAAAAGAATGACAAATTTTATCTGGGGGATTGTTGGCTGGGAGAAACGTTTTTCCCATTCGCTGGGAGTTTTATCAGCCTAGCTCAGCTGGTAGCACTCTCAACTCCAAGTCAGAAGATTTGGGGTTCAAGCCTCACATTGGCACTTTGAACTCACATTGTCCAGGCTGACACTCCCATGCATTGTTGACCTTCGATGAGACATTAATGTACTGTTTGCCTATTCAGGTGGACATTAAAGAACCCATGGCACTACTTAAAAAGTGAAGGAAGGTAGTTTCTCCAGATGTCCTATCCAGTAATCCACCAAATAAAACTGGTCATTCACTTCATGTCTGTTTATAGGACATTGCTGTATGCAAATTAGTTTTAGAGTTCACCTAAAAATACAGGCGCCACTGTTCAGTGATGGTGCTTTTCAACAACAACAACAAGTTACATTTGTAGAGCGCCTTTCAAGTCGAGAGGACTTCTGAAAGCGTTGGCCAGTCAAGGATGTGCACCCGAGCTGGGGGTTGGGATCAGAAAAGGTGGAAAGCTACGAGTGGGGGTAGAAGGGTGACCAAAGGCATAGTCAAAGAGGAAGGTCTTGAGAACAGGCCTTGAAGGAGACAAGGGAGGGGCAAGGCGGAAGGACTGTTTTCAGTGATGGATTGAAAGCGAAAAAGATCAAAGTAAAATAATGCAACAGACAAAAGAAATCAGTGATATATTAGAATGAGGTGAAGGGGAGCCTCTTGCTGTTATTTAACATGATATGATAAGAAGGTGGCCTACACTTACATTCCAGCAGGTCAGCCAAAGTCTTGGTTCGTAGTGCTACTGGCCTTTTGGTTTTATCATTAGTGATGGCAAAGTCCTGCATGCCTAGTTCTTCTGCCACTTTGGCTTGAGTACGGTTATTCACCAGAGAACTTCGTAGCAGCTGCAAAAGAACAGAGCAAACAACTCACTGTAGCTTTTCAGTCTAATTAAAGCACCTTCAATTGAATCTACAAAGGGTGAAATATCGCTATTTCTGAAATAGATTAGATTTCATTGAAAGTACACTTTATTTCAAAAGGAACAATCGTTAGGGAAACATTTTTTTTTAATCTAAGGTATCCTTAAAATCCTGGATTTATTCAGAATTGTTCTGCAAGTGGGACAGATTCACTAATTACTGTAGCCTTATTGTGCCCACTGCTCGTATTGATAAACGTATATTAAAAACCTCACATTTTGTTAAAACACACTTTCATTAAATTATAGTCATACTTACAAACTACTTAAATGTTTGAAAGCCTTTAGTTAAATCATCAATAGATAAACATTCAAAGACACTTAATTTAGCAATGGCAAATAATGGGTCCAACATTCTTTCGTTTATAGCTTTCAGGAATAAAGGATGACATGCGCATAAATTTGGGAAAGATAGGTTGTAAATATAATGTGACAGAAAATGCACTAAATATCAACCAACAGTTCCTACAATAATCCCTTTGGGAAGATTCACTCATTAATCATAAAATGAAATCTTCCCCTTTTTAAATCCAGTAAAGGACCTATTATGCACCACATGTAAACCGTATGTAAATATGTGCATTATGTCTCATTTGTAATCAATAGGTAGACTTGTGGATTAGGTCTGATATGTAAACATACATTATGCCCCATATGTAACCAATATGTGAATTATGTCTCATTTGTAAACTGTGTGTGGAAAAATATACATTATGTCCCATATGCAAGTCTATTATAAACCCATGGCTATTATTGTGTCTAGTGGAAAATGTGTATACAGCGGCATTACAAGTGCCCTTAATCATGTCAATAACCCATCCTTTTCACTTCTACAAGGTATACACAACTTTGAAGTCCAAATGAAGTACTCTTGGTTCAATGTGCAGTACTCTCAATTGGGCAGTGCTCTGAGAGATCTCATGAACGTCCTTTAAGGTTTTAACAAGTTAATGGGAACTTTCCTCCCATTCGCTCCAAATTTCACCTTGGGTGTCTGATAGGAAGACTGATAGGAACTCTGAAGATGGACAATTTGGACCAAACTCCAGAGGTTCCATCTCCTGTTTCCCCCTAAATTGAGGCTGACATTAGTAAGTACAGGAATGTTGGATCCATTACACAGCCACTTCCCGAACAACTCATCTCTCAACTAAAATATCACCAAGGAATGGACAATGCCCGCTCGTCTCTCACCGTTAAGTGCCCCTCGTGGTGGTCCGGGAAATGTATGAATAAGTACTCAGTGGCTACCAATTGCATTATCGAGTCACCGAGGAATTCCATCCTCTGATTGTGACCTCTAAAAAAGAGATCAACGTTGTTACAATCAATAAGCACTTTGGAAGCTACAAAATTAAATTGAAAGGCACTCAAATTACGTTACTTTGCTGTAATTACATGGACCAAAGAGCATTTGCAGTCAAGATCCAAACTGATTTTTGTGCATTAACTTCCCAATCAGCAGCGGTCCCTTCTGTAATAGTCCCGTTCAGTGTATATACCCAGTCTTACATTACAATTTCAGACTTAACAGCTCCCTTTTGTAGCTAACCTGCTGTTCTTGGCATGAAACAGTCCTCGTAAAGATTCACTGAGAGGCTTTTATAGCTCAACTGCAGACGTTGGATTATTATACTGTATTAAGTAAGATGATTTGATTCAGTTCAACTATGTTATTTGGGAGCATTTGTGGAAATTTTACTTGGCAGCTGTCTTCCAGCAAACCAGCAAAAATGTACCGTCTCTGATTGTGGGATGTCTTTCAGTCATAGAAAACACTGTCAACAATGAAATTAGTTCTCCGAATGTCTGTGGAACAGGAAGAGACCCCAAGCGCTCCATATGAGGAAATTGCCTGCGGAAAAGTTCATGACAAGAGTAAATGTGATTTTTGGCGTTCTCAATCATGCAAAGAATATGCCTCAAAATTAAAAGAGCAAAGTTGGGGTTGAAAAGGGATTCGTCAGGAAATAATAATAATCTTTGCATTTGATGTACCGCCTTTTCACGTTGTTGAGACATCTTAAAGCACTTCACAGAATATAAAGTGAATTGATTGTATATTTTATGGGCCAAAGGAAATTATGTAAATGCTGCCTCGGGAGATAAAATGTGGCTCCTTCAGGAAACCTCATGTACACCACAATGAATCACAGGGCTCCGTGTAGATCGGAGCTGAGCTCTTGTGAGTCAGCATGATGTACAAGGGATGCCTTTTTTGACACGAGGACCCATTTTATATTGAAGTGTTCCTGATGAACGATTTTTCAACCCCAATGATCGTAGACTGATAGTACAGAAAGCTTCACGGTAGCAAGCACTTGAAAAATGGCAGTGCATTGTCCCCTTAGCAGACTGAATATTTGCTGGAACAAATGGGGAATTGCTCATTATAAGCACACAATCACAAAGGTCAGTGAATGTACTGCCAAACAGACGATAACTGTGAATCATGCCTGGGATTACGGCCTTTGTTGGGAGTCAGAATATCATTTGCAAGGCAGTGAACAATTGTCATAAAAACAAAACAAATCCACGTATTTGGGATTGATATTTGATAATGCCAGACTGGACTAGTTGTAGAATGTTGTATAGAGTGTTAGTCAAATCCTACATGCAGTACTGCGATCAGTTTTGGGCACCACACCTCAGGAAAGATATATTGGCCCTGGAGGGGGTGCAGCGCAGGTTCACCAGAATGTTACCAGGCCTAAAAGGGTTAAGTTACGAGGAAAGGCTGCGCAAACTTGGATTGTATTCCCTTGAGTTTATAAGGTTGAGGGGTGATTTGATTGAGGTATTTAAGATGATAAAGGCGTTTGAGAGGATAGATATAGAGAAGCTATTACCTCTGGTGGGGGAATCCAAAACAAGAGGACAGAGTCTTAAAATTAGAACCAGGCCATATAAGAGTGAAATCAGGAAGCATTTTTTCACTCAAAGGATGGTAGAAATCTGGAATTCTCTCCCCCACAAGGCTGTGAATCCATCCACACCTTCAAGAGCGAGGTTGATAGATTTTTGGTAGGTCAAGGTATTAAGGGATATGGGGAGAAAGCGAGAAATTGGAATTGAAAGGATTAGTTGCGGTACAGATTAGTCATGATCTAATTAAATGTCGGAACAGGCTCGAAGGGCTGAATGGCCTCCTCCTGTTCCTATGTTCCTATGTAGAATAAACAGCATCCGTCACTGCCATTATGCACACAGGATTTCAGCCTGAAATAAAACATGTTAACAGAATATCTGAGGATTGGAAAGCATACTTTCTAATAGATTCAAACAGGAAACAACATTTTACAAATAAAAGCTGCTCACATCTTCTCTTAGGGTTTTGAGCTGCAGTCATCTAAAGAAGGGTCACGCATGTGCACTAACTTTTATTGCTCTACGTTGCTGGAGTGAAGTTGATGGATTTGACTTGAGATCCATAAGCCTACAACTGGGGCTAAGGGATTAAAGTACACTTGGGAACAACAACTTATTCCTTAGGATCTTAACTCAATAGCTGCTGCATACATGCACACTTGTGACTAGAAAAAGCATTGTAGCAGATTTGTAGCATGCTATTTTCAAGATCTGAAATGTTTGTTTACAACACTAAATGGGATTCTAATATCATCAGGCAGAAATAATAGCAGATTTAACGAAACATTCACTACAGAGGTTAGGGGAGTGGGATGTGAAAACTCAGTGGCCGATGGTGGCACAGAAAGTGTGGGAGACGCATAAAAGGCCAGAGTTATTCGAGCGGAGGGAGCAAGCAGAGACATTTAGACTCAATTAAAAGGTACCTCAAATCAATATGTCAAAACAAACCTATTGTGAAAATTACCCACTGCATCCTGCTTCTACTCTGCACAATTCAATTAACACCGTCTAGAGCTTTCCTAAAATCATTGTGTTATTTAGTAAATTGGATCTAGTCCTGTTAACAATTAGCCTTTGAGTCTCATAATAAATGAAAACACAGGACAACTACAAAAAACATCTATTTATATAATGCCGGGCACATGTCGGAGCACTTTACAAGAACAGAGTCAGATGCTGAGCAAGGGAGAGGGGAAAGGGGGAGGTGGCCACAAATGCATTTGAAGAGATATGTTTTAACGCAGGACTTAAAGACACACAGAGAGGGTATAAGACGGAGGGGCTTTCAGATGTTAGGGGAGTTGGATCTGAAAACTCATTGGCCGATGGTGGCACAGAGAGTGGGGGGAGACTCACAACAGACCAGAGTTAGCCGAGCGGCGAGAGCAAGCAGAGGAGTTTAGACCCAATTAAAAGGTATCTCAAATCAATAGGTCAAAACAAACACTTTAAAAATAAATGCATAAAATTAATAAAATCTCAGCAAGTTGGCACTGGGGAATATTACATGAGATGTGATGTATTGAATAATTGAGAACGATTGAAGAATTCTCTGTAAAATTTAGTATTGGTTGTTAATTGTACAATTATGGGCTTCTGCAATTCCTTCACTACACAAGATTAGCACAACCTGCACAGCAGAAATGGTTTGCACCACTCAGATAATAGACCCCAAAATAAGACAATTTGTTTCCAAACAAAAAAAAGCTTCAGCCCTCTACATTTGGATTTAAGATTCAATATAATACAAACATTGCACTGGGCATAAGGATGTGTTACCATGGTACAGTCTGGACTTACAGAGTTAAATGGTTGTATCCAACAGTGCGTAGGGTAAAGGCTCGAGCCAGAAGCCGTATGTGGGTAAAATCAACTCCAATTATTTCTTCAAACTCAGTTAGTTTCTTTAGAACAGGAGACGTGTTGATCAGGGGTCTGTCAGAATGTGACTCCTGCAGCTGATTCAAGGGGAGAAAATAACATTTCAATTAATATTTCACAATCCCACTTTACAGATTGGAACCATTTATTTATTCATCTCCAGTCACACCAATTGTCAATCACACCCATCCAGTCACAGTCACACACATATCTGCCCGGGTACACATTTTATATTCTGATTATACTTCATTGAATATGTATACACACATATATCTGATGCTAAGCAAATGTAATGTACATTTGTGCGCGCGCACACACACAGTAAGCTAAGAAAAAAAAATAATTTTGATTCAAAAATTTTTTGCCTAATATTGTTGACAAATAAAGGGCATTAGTGCATATGGATGTTTTTTCTCCCCCAACTGCTCCCAACGTTCTCCTCTCCTAAAATCCATTTTCCTTCCATTGTGGAAGCGATTTATCGGCATTTGATATTATCCTTGCTCAAATGACAATCATCATAGTTGGAAGGCAATTCTGCCATAGAGGATTTGGAGCCAAACCTCACCTTGTCTTTATCAAACATGTATATATATATATATATATATATATATTATATATATACACAAACACATACCTTCCAGCAGTGAGACACTGCATTGTGGTGCAGAGAGGAAACTGGCTGAATTTCCTCTCAATAACCTGGAGCTCTGAATCCATTGTACTGCTCCTAATGTTGGCTTGGCTTAGATCAATTAGCAGCACAGACTGGGGTCAAACCTTTCCAGTCTATATATGTTAGCTCATCACTGAATAAACTCACTCAACCATCAGAGAATTGAACACCACCATTTACCATAATTTTCTCTCTGTCTTTATTTCATAGAGATGCTCAAATAGATTGCACATTTATTTGCCATGCTGTCAATACATTAATATCAACTCCAATCTATTAGTTTCTTTTTTAAATAAAGCTACTGAAAATTCCCAATTCACATACATTTGTAGCTGCATTTGTAATCCCATCACAGAGCTACAAGACATGCACACAGCTTATACCGCCCGGCGTGGAGGGCGCTATATAAATCCAAGTTGTTGTTGTTGTTGTTATACATGTAAAAGCAGCCTGCAGTCTGGAGTTATTTCTGTTCAAAGCTGAGAAGCTTGAATGATATTCATCTATTGTCTCTGCACAAAAATAATTCTACACACCAATTCTACACACCCTAAATAAAGCTTGGATATTATTTAGGGATTAGTATTGGTTTTGAATTCTATGAAGATTAGACAGTTGAGCAATAATCTTTTAGTGAAGAGCAGTGGGACTCAAATCACGTTATAGCAAAGACAAACAATCGGAGAGTATGATTTGGATTTGCTCTCTCCAATAAGTTACTGAACAGTCTTTGCTGTGCTTATCCTTAAATCAGTTGGATAGAAGTTTTCGGAGCTCTCGTTAAATAGGAATGAGATCAAAGTCTCAACAAAATTAAGGGAACAGTTGCCACAATGTGGCATTTTAATTCCACGATGAGTTTAGTACAGAGACATTAGTTTTGAAGGGTTCTCTGAAGATTACTGCATCACATTAGGGTGAAAAACCTCTATTGTCGTTTTGTCTATTCTGCGGAAGATTGAGAGAGACTGAAAAACGGCAGTGGTGTGGAAGTAGATTGGATTTCTACCTGTAGTTTATTTACCCAGGTAGGGCAAAAAAATCCAAGCTCCTTAACATTAGCAACAGAGATTTAGCTTGATAGAGGCAAGACAGCATATCAGCAAACTAAACAATATCCTAAAGGTTGGGATTTCCCTGGACAGTCAAGTGATCATTTAGAAGAGCATTATTATTACACTAAATTGTTTGGCTGTTTTGCATAAAATTAAGGGAATACGGCATTTGAAATGTAAAATGAAAACAACATTTCTATAACTCACATCAACAGAATTCAGAATAAATAAATATATTTGACCAGTGTAGCCAGCTTTACTACAGCCGCCATTCTGTTCCAAAAAATCTGTCACCTAACAAAAAGCAGCACAAATTTTAACATCAAATAAGACCACACACTTTCTGACAAGAAATGTAGAATGAAACCCACTTTACTAATACAGTAGCATTTATTTCCAAAACCTAAACTGTTAAAATGTAATTGAGATTAACGTGAACACCTTTTGTTGTTGCTTCGTTCTACTGCAGTGATTTCTTTCCTGTCCCACGCACAATTTTTACTGTCAACTGATGAGATCCACTGGGAACTGGCTTTGAGGGTGACTGAGCTAAGGTGTGTGAGGGAGCTGAATTAACATCTATAGATATGGTCTTCCAGCTGCTTCATCGATCTTGTCGTATGAATGTTGTGGGTTAATTTTGCTCGGTCACACAGGCCAACTCGAAAACTTTCTCTCAGACCAAATCAGCAGAATTCACAATTGAAAAAATGTATCTCAAAGGTGGTGGCAGTGTGTGTGGGGGAAGGAACAAAAACACAGGACATTGCACATAGTTAATCACAGCGATTGTTAAATGGATTTATAATGGCGACACTCCCTCTTTAAAAATCATGTCGCTGAGCACCTAACGGTTCTAAATTGTACCAAGATCACATGAAATCAATCCAAGAAATAGACACTTTCTCAAGCTCCCACTATGCCCTCTAAGCAAGAGCACTTAGTCATGGGCATGCCTATAAAACACAAAACCTTTCAAGCCTTATCTCGACCCTAATCTCACCTCCTTCTCTTCTCCCACCTCCCTCTAGCCTGGGTCATCTACTGAAAACATAGTTTAATCCAGTGAATAAGAACGGTTTTATTTGTGGAAGCATTCAGCACAATCTAATTTCAATTATCCAACTGGTGTCCACTCCACTGTGGCACATAATTGAGGTTACACAGTATATGGTTAGGGCAGTTTATGAAACTGTACTAACCACCAAACATTAACAACTTGTGAAATTTCAAGACAGATTTATGGTGGGATGTGTGTGTGAAAAAACACATACCCTACAAAAGAATGAGTTAAAATACTTTATATATTGTTCTCTGTGATCCACAAAGCAATGAATCACAAGAGTACAATTTTCTCAACCTTCCAATTTCTCATTATCCTTTACGCGGTGAGTGTGTGCAGTCATTAAGCTTTTATGAAATACAATCAAATGGTTATTAGGGGATCAAATCACCCACTTGATTCTGGAGTTGTGATCAGTTACAGACCAGCAGAAAGTTCTGCTTTGAAACCCAACAAAATATTATTTTGGTGCATTAACTGCAATAGTAGTACTGTCTAGCAACAATAAGAAGCAGCCCTTCTTGAGTTCTTCTCAGTAGGTGTCTCAAAGCACTTCACAGAATATACTGTATTTTGTGGGCGAAACGCCGCAGCCAATTGCGCAGAGCAGTGTCCCACACACAGTCAAGTGGTTTTCGTTTTTTCTTCTAACCACACACACACACGTCGGCTTTTGGAATATCTTTTTATAATAGGTGTGGGAGAGAATAAGAAATGCGTGGAGTATAAACACCAAAACGGACTGATTGGGCTTAGTGGCCTATTTCCTTGAGAACATTCTTTGTAAATCTCTAAGCTAGGCTGCTTCACTGATCTTGTCACTTGAACATTAAAGGCTAATTCAGCTCGCTCTTACTGGTCAGCTCAAAATCTTTCTGCTGACAGATCAAATAAGCAGAACTCATAATTCAAAAAGATATTCCAAAGGCGACATGTGAATTTGTGTGTATGTGTTTATGTTTGTGGGGGGCGCAGAGGGAGAAAGAAGAAAACTACAGCGAAACCACAGCTAATTGCTGTGGTTAACATATAGTTTGTTAAATGGTGACACACCTGGTTGAGTCTATTTTCTTCTTTATGTAATTAAAAACAATCACCCTTAAACACCTTAAACTGTTGCACAGTGGTGAGGTTGGACACCAACTAGAGGGGCATGATCAAAGATATGGTCTTCAGGTAGGATTTAAATATAAAGAGGGGACAGGAGGAGGGATAAAGGTGGGAGTTCCAGAGATTAGGGGTGTTGTGGCTGAAGCTCCAATGGTGAAGCAAAGAAGTTAGAGGATGTGCAACAGACCTGTGTTCACTCAATTGACATTGCATGAGTCAGATTAGTTAATTACAGAATTAGCAAACCCTTTTGTCAGTTAATTGTACAAGTAAGGGCACCTACAATTCCCTCCTTTCATTTTATTTGTTTCATGTTTTGTTGTTTTTATATAGTATATTCAGCTGTATAAACCATTCAAATCTACAGCACAGAAGAAAGCCATTCGGCCTATCGTATCGGTGTTGGCTCTTTTAAGAACAATCATCTCAGTCCCATTTACCTGCCCTTTTCCCATACCCCATAGTTTACTCCTTTTTTTAGATATTTATCTAATTCCCTCTTGAAAGCTGGTATTTACACCTAGTTTACACTCAGCTCAGAATAGCTGCAGTAGGTAGAAATCGAATATAAAAGTTCGCCTGCAGAATATAGTCACAGCACATTACAGTAAACCCTGTGAAACACTATCCACCCAACATGAAAGGTGCTGTATCAAGTTCAAGGATAATTATTATTAATATCATGTGCAAGAATCAAGGAGGTTGAGGCTTGAATCAGTGGCTATTAGGTGTATACTGGTCTGGGACCAATAATCTACAAAATAGGTTTACTCCTCTCGTTATTGTTCATAAATCTGCCGCTTCATGAACTGAGGCAAAATAATTATAAGGCAAAGGGGAAAAAAAAGGCAATCAAAGTAACAACCATTAGAAAAGTAAGGACTATGATTTATTATAAATAAGATGGAAGCACACTGAGTCAAACATATAGCATTTTGAGCAGCCTGCAGAAAGAATTAACAAAGAATAAAAGCAGTTCTTACTTGCAGAGGGTGCAGAGGATAATTAAGCCAAACTTCCCGCAGGTCCTGTTAAAGACAAACAAGATATATAGTCAGTTCTCTGGGGACTCGCTTCCAAATGTTACATTGCTAAATAAACAATAGACACAGGAGGGTACAGCATGATTTTTAAAACGATAACATTCCATTGCAAATTCAACACCACTAACAAACAAACCAGCATCCAGTGAAAATAAAAGCACAGTTGAATAAGTTACAGTACATTTCATTAGTAGCAGTGTCAAAATCCTGGTGACAAATTATGTTATTGGAGAAAGCATCCAAAGTCTCTCTCAATGAAATAATTGTAACCTCTCGACTGTTTCAGCTATTCACAAGTTATTTAAAGGGCAAGTTAAAAGTTCAACGCAGAAATGTTGTCCTGGTTGGAAATCTCCTTGTTATTCAGAATACTGGGGGTTTTAAACTATGAAAAATGAGGCCAGTGGATCATTTGGACTTAACATTTAAAACTGTGCAGCACTGTAGAAAATGCCTAATTCAACTTAATTTGGAGACTGGCTTACCACAGTTCTTATAATGAACCAAATGAAGACTGAATTTAAGAAATTCACATATCTTTGTATAACCTTACATTTTAAGCTAAATTGGTTCTACAGGCGATGACGAGATGGAATTTGGGACCTCAGGCTTTGTGTGACGGGAAGGACTTTAACTCCTTTATGGAATCTACTGCAAGGAAGGATCTGCAGAACTTCTACTTAAAAGTGGCTGAAAGCTTCCAACAGGGTTTTGGTGTGGATAACTGGCTCACTATTGTAGGATGAAAAGTAATGGCTCTTATCAACATTCTGAATCAGACAAAAATCATTTTGAGGTTCTTTTGGAATAGAACAAGCTCAGTTGGTAGCTGAGGTTCTCTAAGTCAGAGTTTCCCTCTCCTTCCCTCCCTTTCTGTTTTGCCTTCTTGGCTATTTGTGGACACTGTTGTGCGCAATTGGCTGCCGCGTTTCACCCAGAAAATATAGTCACTGCACGTTATAGTATATCCTGTGAAGTCCTTTGAGATGTCTCGATGAGATGACAAGCCACTATATCAAATGCAAGGATTACTATTATTATTATTATTATTCATTATTAGAAGATTATGAGTTCTTCCCAATGCAGCGCTGAGAGTGCACTTCTTTGTGGGAGGTACTGTCCTTTGGATGAGATGTTAATAAACAAGGTCTCGTCTGCCTGTTCAGGTGGATGTTAAAGATCCCATGGCGAAAAGAATTTCTCCCAGTATCTTGGCCCACGATCCCCCCAAACAGTGTTGTTAATTCACTTCCTGGCTGTTTGTGGGACATTGGTGTGTACAAATTGGCTACCACATTCAACCACAAAATCAGTCACTACATTTTACAGTTAACCCTACTAAACATGTCCTCCAAATGAAAGGCTTTACGTCAAATGTAAGGATGATTATTATAAAAACAAGTGCAACATGAACAAGTGTTGATCCTTCTCTTGCTAAATCTAGACAACTTGACATCTCAACAATCTTGTACAGTGAGAATATGATCAGAACAGAGGCATGGACTTTAGAAAGGTTACAGGTTACCATGCCATCAAACAGTAGTCGACCAAACAAGTGTTTTGCTTCTTCCAGACCACCTTCTAGATAGACCGCACCTGCAACAATAAATATAATAAGTGGAGTGCAATAAAAGCAACATGCTGCACAGTGCAAGATTCAATCGCAAAAGGAGTCAGAAATATCAGCAGGGCTCAAAATTGATGATATATTCAAGAAAAAAAAGTGTTGCAGATTGTACATAAAAATAAAACAGCCTCATATGGTTTCTACTTTTGAAAAATCAATTTCACCAAGGAGATTTGTAACATTCACAAGATAAATCACAGTAAGTCATAAACTGCTCTCTTCTTTCCCAAATAAACTGTGCTTGCTATCTTCAAGCAATCTCCTAATAAACAAGGCAAAGTCTACATGAATCACTCAAAAATTTCTATCTTGAATTTAATTGTGTCATCAGCTTCCAGGCCCTTCCACGGGTTAAGCTAAGTAATGAATTAGTAAGTTGTCAAGTTACATTCAGATAATATTTAAAGCCTTCATTCATCGTCCATGCTTGGTGCCACTGAACCACTTCAATCTACAATACAATTTACATTTAAATTGTATGGTATTGTCAATTGAAGTGCAAATTGAAATTCTCTGCTATTCTTTAAAATGTTGGTATGGATGAAAGGTTCCACCCAAAATGTTAATCTATCTTTCGCTTTCAGATGCTGACTGACCCATGATCGGTTTCCAGCATTTTCTGTGCTTTGAAAGTTTTAGTTTTTTATTTCATTAAAATAACTGAATAAAGTGCCCTTCCTCTTCTTACTTTTGTTTTGTATTGGGTGACAAAACATATTGGGTAACCAAATATGTTCAAAAATCTGACTAGTTTGCTGGAAATCACATGGTCATGCATTAAAATGGTAGCACAACAAAATGTCAGGAAGTGGCACCAGCAGCAACCCAAAGAGCCAGATCACAGCTTTTCATGAGAAGGCGGACAGCGTGCCGAAAGCCAAATGAGGTCACTGCTGAAATTCCACACATTGCCTCTTTTGACAATCTGATAAGCAGTTTCGGTGAAATAGATATTTCTACACAAAACGTAGCTGTTAAGGTCACTTTTTAAGTCATGTAGCTCGCAAGCGAGAGACCTGGGTTCGATTCCCGGCAGGGTGAAACCTTGGGCAAGTTTCCTTACTCCACATACCTTATAATAATCCCTCAAGAAAAAAAACAATAATAATTTGGCCATTTCAATACACGACTGTTTGTGCGACACTGCTGTGTGCAATTGGTTGCCACATTTCGCCCACAAAATATACAATCAATTTGCTTTACAGTATATTCTGTGAAGCGCTATGAGGCGTCTAGATGTGAAAAGCACTATATCAAATGCAAGGATGATTATTTATTTTATAAATTACCTATTAGAGCTTCAAAGCAGTTTGCCATAGCGTGACGTAAGTCTGATTCCCGACAGAGGTCTGGTCCGTGAGCATAAAGCATGAATCTGTCCAGTTCAAGTTTCTGTAGATAAAATGTACATGTGTGGTCATGTTTATATCAAACATAGGACATTCCTCAATGGAAATCTCAAAGATCTTCTCGACATTTGTGAACTAATGGGGTCTATTATACAAGATGGGGAAATGAAAGTGTGAATTAGTGGATCTCAACTGAAGCAGCCTTGGTTGGCCTTGGTACCCTGGGGTTAGAGAAGGGGGAAAAAAAGACAGGGTTCAAGCTCCAGACCACTAGATAGAGGCCCCTACAGGAAAGACAACCCGTTTTGTTGAAAGAGTTGTTTCTGTATGAAACTTAGCTGTTATCGTCCCTTTTGAAATGACCTATTAGGAGCTTCAAAGCAAGCACACACATACACACACATATGTGAGTGTAGGGACATCAGATGAGAACAGGATGATGTGTGGCTGTACGGAGGGACACTCAATGTCTCATGTCACATAATGACCACTTTGCATGAAGTACCAGAGACTGAGTGACTTTAGGCAGAAAGTGATAGGCGCAGAATTGTCCTGCAGCACAAGACAGTGCCTTCAGGAGAGGAGTCGGAGGAAAAAAATTGCTGAACAAAGACAAATAATTTAATTCTTATTAAAACAAAGCTAAGACTGTGAAAACCCGAAGAAAGAGATTTTTGAGAGAAACCCAGGGAGAAAAATCCAATTTAAAAAAAGCGTCCTAGAACACCAATTGTGTATCTACAAAATGTCCCTGCCGTAATTCAAACTCATTTACATTTATACAACATCTTTCATGTTAGGAGGATGCCTCATAGTGCTGGAATCCACAGTAAGAGATGCTTACCCACACTAGTAATCCACAGCACTCACCTTGGCCAGCATAGCAAGGTGTTGGTTCTGAACAATAGCAGTGCGGTACGTAGCTAAGCCTCCTTCCTCCAGGTTTGGAAACAGAAAGTACAAGTGCACACTGAAAGCAGAAATAAAGAGTCACGGGGGAGGGGGAAGATGCCACAAACCAGCAGATGAAATCAAATGAGCCAAAAGTGCCATCTTCATCCAAAATAATCTTGTGATTTCATGCAAGATTCAAGGTGTAGGACAAATATAGGACAAATATTCATAGAGGTATTAAACACTTCCCTCCCCCCGCGCCCCCCTACCCCACCGCCCCCATTTTTCACCTATTACCTCTTCTCCTCCTGAATAAGATTAAATAGCTCATTGAATAAACTGACTGACCCAGAAGTTTTGACCATCATACTGCAAGTCACTGACTTTGTAAGATCCCAGGCTCACTCCTGAGTCTCTCTCTTAATTTTGGGTGATGGCATTGTTTTGGATGCCTTTGAAGGGCAAACCCACTACAAATGACTCACCACTGAGCAAGTTCATCTTTTGTTTTAAGTCTGACATATGCAGAAACCCACCACCATTCTTACAGGTATCCAAATCAAACTGAGAGTTCTACAGAGGGGAATATCTGTTTGCCTGGAATGCAACGTGTACTCTCTCCCTGAAGGGATGCACCTCTATAGAGTATTAGGTGCTGGATGGCAAGAGCCATGGCTTGGAAACCCAGTACACAGTGTGTAAGTTTATAGAAGTAAAACACTATGCTTTAAACAGTTCTCCTGCAAACATAAAACTTTCTTCTTTTCTATATACCTTGCACCATTTCCATCTGAGGGGTGATCTTACCCCAGGCCTTTTGAATATTACTATTCACCTGCTATCCAGAGATACTTGTGTGGGTGACTCCCCCCCCATCCCCACGCCCATAATGTGGGAGGCACTTAAAAGACTGATCCAGAAAGTGGGCCTGAGGAGATTGGTGGTGGGGGAGTGGGGAGGTCACACCCACAATTTCATGATTTCACTCCACTCCATCCTCGCACTTAACTCTCTGCCAAATGTACTAAATGTTCATTAAAAATGCAAGCCCTGCTGAAAAATTAAAATCATTACAAAACTAAGACAAAACGTATGCACACCAAATTCCCACCTTGTTAAAAATTCAACCACTGCGTCTCCCAGGAACTCCAGTCTTTCATTGTGGTTGATCCTTGAGTAAAGCAACAACTGAGATTTTAGTTAATGTATAACTGAATATAAACTATGTTGAAGTGAAACCAAACTTCATTTCTGAAAAATTCATTTTATTACGGCTTTGTTCCTGAAAACAATTAGACACAGCAGTCATTGAATACTCAGTTATCTTAATCACATTCACACTTTAGTAGAACCCAATAGTGAATACCAGATCAGCTGAAGGACCAGTTGCCTGGATTATTGACGAAAATAGTTAGACTCAATACAGGATATTCTGTTAGAACAATAATAGTCTTTGCATTTGGTATATAGCGCCTTATCACATCTTCCAGACGTCACAAAGCGCTTCACAGAATATACTGTAAAGTGAATTGACTGTATAATTTGTGGGGGAAACGCGGCAGCCAATTGCGCACAACAGTGTCCCACAAACAGTCATGGATTGAGTGACCAAATTATTATTGTTTTTTTTTTGAAGGAATTATTACTCCCAGAAAAGCGATCACAATTGCAGCCCATCAATGATTTAGTGTCGGTAATCTAAAGTGGTGAATAGTTGTACAATGAGCAAAAGTTGGAATTCACACACACACACAAACACACACAGAATCAATCTTTGAAACGTGACTACATAACAATAAAAAGTTACACCATTACCATCTGGGTAAATTAAGAAACCATATTAGACCATTCTCAATTTAGAAACATAGAGGGTTTTTGTTTTCCACTTGTCAAGAAATTTGCCAGCCTTGGCATTTCCTACTATTGATGAAACTTTAGGAAAAACCTTGTTGGATGTGCCGGCAAAAATGATCAGATTGTACAGAAAGCAAATCAGTCAGAACACATGGATCACTTGGATACTGAGAATGCAGAAATCTACTGAGAACCTCAGTGTCTGATTCTGATGGTACAAGGTCTGTGGTGCTATACACCATAGGATGCCTTCACCGCTTAAATTTTCCAATGCAATCCTATTATAAAAGCAGCTTGAAAAACATGATTCACAGTAGATTACGTGTTTTCTAACAGTACAGCTCATCATAACTAGTTTTCAAGAGTGACAAATTCTCTTCGAAACAAGGCGGTAGCTACCCACTCAACCCCTGGGGTTTATTTCACTTATTCACAAGTGAGGAATAGTGTTGGTAACAAGTTACATTTCATTTTTGGCATTCCACTCTGACAGCTAATGGATCTCAATAACTGCATCAAAAACACTTTCCCCCAAGTGTTTTCCTCTCCCTTTCTCCTGATGGTCACCACTCTTGCTACATTATGGTTCTTTAGATGCCAGCTGTCCCCAATAGCTTCTCCAAATGGATCATATACACGTGCCACACGAAAGAAGTGTCATTGGGTGAAAGCGCTTCAAGATGTCCTTTCGACGTGAAAGATGCTATGTGAATGTAAAATCTTTGTTGTTGAGAAGGGGAGGGGGAAACAGAGAAATTACTGATTCTATCCTCAAAATTCCATCTGGTGTTTGTTTATAATACTTTTGTCTTAAAATTTAAGATCATGCAGCACTGTGGAAAACTCACCAATTTTCAATCTTAATTTGGAAGCTGGTTTTCCAGTTCTTAAAATGAATTGACTTCCAAATAAAACTGCAGCGAAGCAATTTTCCATAAATCTGCATGATCTTACATTTTTTGAGGGGAAACTCTACCTGGTTATCTATTCTCACTCCCTGGTCCAGCGACACTAAGGCTAATTATGCTCTTCCAGGCTTGCCCGAGCTCAGATCAGTGAACGCAGTATAGACCAGGATTAAAACCTGCAATGGTTTTATTTGTATGCCAATTAATGGGTTTAACCTAAAAAGGCACCAGGGAGCTCTTCTTCTTTCAGCAACCAAACTTAATAAGTGGCTTCTCACTGCCGCCACTGGAAAGATGAGACATTTTCAAGTGAGAGCATGAACATCTTAAATGTATATAAACTGAGTGGGTTTGTAGCACGTTACCAACAATGGTGCCCTTTCACATTCGTCAGAACTGAACTGACGAAGGGTCTCTTCGTCAGAACTGACGAAGGGTATTGGACCCGCAATGTTGACTCACTTTCCTTTCTCCATAGATGCTGCCTGACCTGTTGAGTGTTCCCAGGGCTTCTGTTTTTGTTTTAAAAATATGGTAGCAGTTGGTAGCACTTTCACCTCTGGTTCAAGGCCCACATTGGGACTTTGAATGCAATGCTGGGGGAGCGTTCCATTGTCTGAGGTACAGTCCTTCGAATGAGATATAAAATGAGATACCATGCCTGTTAAAGATCCCATGGCACTCTTGAAAAAAGGTAGTTTCTCCCAATGTCCAGAACAATCATCCCCAAAACTATTGCCAGGACTAATTGACTGTTCACTTCATGACTGTTTCGGAGACATTGTTGTGCACAAATTGGCCTTGTTCATCGGCTAAAAGTGATACTGCACTTTCCAAAAAACCTCTGCGAAGTGTTTTGAGATGTTTTGATATAAGGCACTATATCAAGTGTAAGGATTATTATTTTTAAACCTACCTGCTAACAAAGTACAATAGTTTCCTCTTTTGACCTCCATTTATATACACTTATGCAGGCATTACTTATTTTTATTTTGTACAGACCACTGTGCCAAAATTGTAAATATAAAGCTTATATTATACTATCGACTGAAACACAGAGGCAAACCTCTATCAAGTTGCTAGCATTTGCAGATTGGGCTACTTATACACACAGCATTCATCAACTCACAGCACACCACAGCCCTAACCTGAGCCTGCCATATCTTCCAGTCACTGCAGAGTCATTGCAATGGAACAAAAAATAATGTTTATTTAAGATGGCGATTAAGCATTGCTGCAGGATTTAGTTCACTACTTAAGCAGCTTTCGAGGCAATTTCAGGCCTATTTCTAAAAGAATACAAGTTAATGAATGAATCCATCACGCACCTCGATGGAGTTGGATCGTCCTGACCGAGCCGTGACATGATGTTTATTAAGGTATTTATGCCTGTGAAAAACACAGAAACAGCAATGATAAAGAGGATTCACTTGCAGCCGCAAGGTACACAATGCTGGATACAATACACTGTGGCTACTGAATATGTAGGATTATTGGAAGTACTTAAAGACACCCTGAGGATGGTGAATTACAATGTCTTTTGGAATATTAAGGTAGAATCCAATGTTACAGAATATCAAGGTATGAAGCTGATTAGTTCAATGGTATTGTCCTATCATGGCCATACTCATGGATGTAGAGAAGACTGTACAGAAATTAAACTTTGAAAGACCAATTTCACATTATGCCTAGTTGCAATGAGGACAATATTTTTACAAATCACTGAAATGTGATGTGCTAATATACCTACTATTTATTTAGGTTTCTATGAAAAATCATTATGTTTTAAACTCGCCAAATTTTCCGATCTCTCCCCAAAAGGTGTTTTGATATTTCTTCCTTCACCGGAATGCAAAACCTTGGGTAACAATCACCATTATTAACATATCAGCCTTGTCAGCGACTGACAGCAGTCTATTCAATGCACTGAGAATTAAATCGAAATTTGATTCTGCCCTCTCCCGACACCCAAATAAGTGCACCTTCCAGTCGAGGTGTCTAAGATAGGAATAACACCAATAGTCCTGGTTGATATTATCAAGCACCAAACCCAGAGGGGCTCAGGACAATCATAACGTTAACTTTCCTTCAAGCAACTAAAATCTTCTGTCCTATTGTTTTTAAACATTAATTCATCCCAAAAGCCAAGAACTATGGAAAAGCATAGCAAAGTTCCTCAACAAACTGTGAAAGACACAATTTAATTTCTTTCCTTCCCCCTAGTTAGGTAAACATTTTCTCCACAATTGCTCCTCTCGGTTTCTCATGTACCTTTCTTCCTCATGTACATGTGGTGGACCTTTCGGTCTCCATACTTGGGTTGCCGGATACCACAGTTGGACAGGGAGTTTCTTGCATGGTCTGGATTCATCCCGAAATTCAGGTGATGGCTCGGGTGAGTCATTCCAAGCTAATGGCAAATCATAAACACAAAATTATAACGATAATCCTTGATTTTGCGGTAGTGTTTTCATGACAGGCGACTGTCCCAAAGTAATTCACAGGATTTACTGTAAAGCGTACAATAACAACAGAATGACTGCATATTCGTAGGTAAACCTGGCAGCCAATTTGCACATGCAGCTATGAAATAACTGACCGATTTTATTTGTGGGATTGTTGGCCACAAACAGGGAAATGTATTTAAAATCGCTTAAATCCACAAAAAATACTTATAAAGTAAGAATTATCAATGGTACAACAACAAGATCGTTAATAAGTCAATGAAGTACTTGAAGCTAACAAGGTGATCAAAAGGAAGTGAATAGCGCCTGGATTTGGGCAGTAAGCCAAAGACTTATTGAAAGATTAGAGGCAAGAATGAACCATTCGATCAAAACAGAAACAGCAGTACAAGGATAGATCAAAGGGAAAGATTTATTGATGAAAACAAAAGAGAACGGTGAATAGAAAATAATTGGTTGTAACATGCAAAGATTGAGGAAGGGTGAAAAGGGAAAACCAGAGGAAAATCAGAAACAAAAGTGAGCCAGTTTGCACACTCTAGCAAGAAAGAGTAAAAACTGTATCCTCAGAAAACAAATCAAAATTTGCATTGGATTAAAGATGTACATAAGAGTATTGTCACATTGGAAGGTGTTCAGATTTTGAGTGTCAACATGTTTAGCAACATGTTATCTGGAAAGAAAACTTTCTATATTACGAATGTTTGAGCACTAGACTTAGGAATGTAAGGTTCTAAGTTCAATTACAGTGAATCCACTCAGTCCTATTAAGGATAAAATGAGTGCCATGGATATATCATCGGGAGGAAGGAAGGAAAGAGTTGGTGGGATCTCTGTTGGGCTGAATTGACTCTGGGGAGAGTTCCATGGCAGCCTTGGCAGTACAGATACATCACGAATCCTCAGAGTCAAAGCCTTCAAGTCCTGGAGAGGCGCTATCTAGACAAGTTCTATACTGCATGGTTTCCCTCAGGCAAACTGATAAGAAACGTACATCTGAAGCTTTTAAAAAGGCACTTCCAATCAGCTTTGCAAGAGAAAATTTTCAGAAGGACACCAGTGTAATAGATAACTCAAATTTATCTAAATCACCCTATATTTCAAAAAGGGAACATATCTCTCACGCGCAGCAGATTTTAATTAACAACACAGGAATACTTAGCAAGATAAACCAGGAATAGACACTTGCAATATTTTCAAGGAAACAAACCATGGTACAAGGGCCATAGGGAGATAACAGTAAATGAAGGGGTTATTCAGTTGCACCCAATCCCAATGCAGATACACCTCATTATGGCTAATAAGATGACAGCTTCTGCTCTAAAGGTCAAGCCTTTAAGGTAATTTAGTACAATACAGTTTCAACATTCAAGACATACAGTAGAGAAAAAAAAATCAAAGTTTCAGAACCGCATTAAAACCAACCACTTGAATGTCCTCAGTATCTGATATAAAGAAAGCATAAACGAATCAAGAGCCAATAGTGAATGAAGAAAATTGAGCAAGGTAAAGCTCCTGCTGCTTTTCATTCAAAGTTGTGTGAGATAATGGAAACTTGGGACCTTATATGCAAAAAGGAAGTTATATCCGCTATAATAAATACTAAAATCATGCAGACCTGACCAAATTCTATTACTATTTGAGAAAGCTATGGCCCAAAAGTCAGCAATATCTTTATCACGATCCCACATCAGGGCTGAAACTCACATAGTCTAAGATGACATTCCAATGTAGGTGTCAGCTTAGACTATATGTTGCATTGTTGGAGGTGCCAGTTAACCAAGGTCCCATTTGCCTGTTCAAATGGATATTAAAGATCTCGTGGCACTATTTGAAAAGAGAAGAGACTTATAATAATAATAATAATCCTTGCATTTCATATAGCGCCTTAACATGTCTCAAAGCGCTTCAAAGAATATACTGTAAAGTGAATTGACTGTATGTTTTGTGGGAGAAACGTAGCAGCCAATTACAGAAGCAGCAGTGTCCTGCAAACAGCCATGGATTAAGTGACCAAGTTTTTTTTAAGAGATTATTACCCCAGAAAAGCGATTCACTAATCGATTAACGACCGGGGTTCCTACTTACTGCTAGGTAAACACAGGTGTGTGGTGGAAGGAAACATGCCCACTGTTTCGTCCTGCCAGGAAATGAATGCAGGTCCTCTTGCTTGCAAGGTGAGTGCTCTAACCACTAAGCTATAGGACTCCACGTTATTTTACAGAATTCCACATGAATTTCTGATGTCCTGACCAACAATCCCCCAAATAAAATTGGCCACTCATGTCATAGCTGTTTGTGAGACATTACAGTGGGCAATTTTGCTACCTACAAAGACACTGTCACTCCATTTCAGTAATTCCTGTGAAGTGCTTTGAGACATCCTTCCAATAAGATGCTATAGTAAATACGAGGATTATATTTATCAATGTGTGCGCGGGTGGGGGGAAGGGAGGGAAACGCGTGTTACAGGGTTGATCATTCCATAGTTCTCTACCATCTCTCCTCCCTGCAATTGTTGTGGTCGTTGACTTTCTACGAGTAGATAAGAGATTTAGAAGATCCTAAATTGGAAATGCAACTCCCTGCACTGGCAGCTGAATCAATACGGAACCCAGAGAAGAGCACCATGCATATTCAAGTTTTCACATCAGAAAATTTAGACTCCAGGAAGCCCTGAAACAGTGAGATTTTATAATCAGCTTACACCATGTCTCCTATGGCACGGCGTGAAACAAAGAAGGAACTTACGTGACATCTACTGGCCAAGTATGGATACTACAAGTGGAGAGGAGTACATAGGCTGAGCATAAATTGTCAACTGCAATGATACCTGCAAGTTTATCTGTTATTGTGACATTTATTGCACAAATAGAGCTGTAAAAGGTCACCTTTGAATGTTACACACCCGACTTGCATTTTATTTTGATTTAGGATCTTCTAAATCTCTTACCTACTTGCGGGAAATCAACAACAGAAACCTAATATAAGCTTGGATAGGTTAACCAGATTATGAGAAGTCAACATGTCAGAATACTGTGAGATACAAAAGGCTTATCTGTAGAAGTCTAAACGGTTAGACATCAATATCTAGAGCAGATAGACAAAAATGCATGACAGGCTTTCAACATTTGGACCATGATTAAGTGAAAGCCGTTCATTTCATAGTTGTTCGTAGGACACTGCTGTGTACAAATTGGCTGCCTCATTTGCCTTCAGATACACAGTCACTTTTGTCAAATCAATTACACGCTCATTTAATTCAAAATTAATTCAGAGAACAGTTATATGCCATCGAAAACAACAGAAATAACTACAAACCAGAAATGTTTAGAACCATAGAAATTTACAAAAGGTCTATTCGGCCCATCATGTCTGTGCCGGAAGCTTTCTATTTGCTGTTCAGTAACGATCTAATAATACAACTAGGCATGTTAACAAACATTTACCTGCAGCAGACAACGTTGCTTAAACTTGTAACCTATCAACTTATCCAGGTGCATGAGGCACTGGTGGTAACGGATGTGGTGAGTCAGCACTGGCAACATCATGGCATGCTGGAAGATAAACATTCATATTGAAAGGTTACATGTGACTCGTTCCGATATGTCCTACTGTTTATCACACACATCAGATCACTATAATACCCTGGTGTCTATCTCACACTGATCACTATTATACCCTGGTGTCTATCTCACATTGATCACTATTATACCTTGGTGTCTATCTCACACTGATCACTATAATACCCTGATGTCTATCTCACACTGATCACTATTATACCCTGGTGTCTATCTTACACTGATCACTATTATACCCTGGTGTCTATCTTACACTGATTACTAGATGAAATACTGTGACAATAGCAAGGAGAAAAAAAAGGTTTCTGCAGTGTAAGAGATTACAGTAACTAAAACACATTGATATAGATATATTTAAAAAAGATACAATCTACAACCGCTCATCACCGCTCAGATTTTCTAATGTCGAAATGGAAAATCATTGATACCCTAGAACCAGTTACAAGCGTACATCAACTTGTTCATTTCTGCTTAATTAATAAAATTACATTGATTCAACTCTGACTAAATTCATCAAGACAAGAGTAGATTTTTAACCTACCCTTGTGTATTCTGACAGGTCTGACAAGGAAAAGCCTTTGGTCAATATTTCATTAGTTTAGCTAACAGCCTAAGCATATCTTCAGGAATTCTATAATCCATCAGTGTCTCCAGTCTGAAAAGGTGAAACGTCTTACATGGTGTATATTACTTGCATTTGGTCACACAAGGCCAGCGATTAACAAGATTGTTGAATGGACTCTATGAATTATATGTACTCGTACAGCAATTTCTCATCTTTAACAAAAATACACCAAATCTCGCTGTTCATTCCTCACGCTCACTGAGCTTGTTCTTTCCAATAAACTATGTACAATATGTGTGGATGAAACTATGTACACGTTGAACTATGCGTATATATTCAACTATGTGCAATATGTTTGGAGTTTCACAGCCACATCCCTGTCCTCAGTAACTGTCTTAAACTAATTCCATGTGGATTCCGTCTTAGGACGTCCTCCCGACGTAAAAGGCACTATACAAGTGTAATCTTGCTGTTGTAAATTCCACCCTTCCTGCTTTCAATCCGCCCACAATCAGATACCTCCATAAAATTCAGTGCTCTTCTGATCACTGCTCTCATCGCCTCATGAGACGTACTGTTCCAGCACGTGCCAACACATGCATACTCTCGACCTTTCCCTTCAGCAGCACCAGCACACTTTATCTCAGAACTGCCTTCATCCTTCGCCTCATTCGGCGCTTTAACAAAAAACTGTTTTTCCTTCTTGTAGATGGCAAGGATCACAAACTTCAATGATTCGTGGATGCCAACCCCTCTACTGACCCCTCCTCTGACTCCATCCCTCCCGCCCAGTCCCACTCCTTGCCTTACCTTCACTATCCCCTCTGACCTCCCACTCTCTGATCCCGAACAATCCGTCCTCAGTAAAGACCTCAGCTTCATTCCCTTACGCACCCACCTCAATGAATTTCGATCCCGGCATGATGCTGAGCTCTTCTTCCGCTACCTCCGCTCCCAATTTTTTGGCCAGGAGGCCTCCCCCCGGACATCAGACCCCTCCTCCTGTCTTCCGAAGCCCCTTTCCACTTGGACCCCACCACCAGGTCCCCTAACCTCCCTGGACCTGTTCATTGAGAACTGCCGACATGACATCAGCCATGTCCGTTTCTCCACTCCCTTCCCCCACTTAAATCTTCGTTCTTCTGAACATGCTGCACTCCACTGTCTCAAGACCAATCCTGACATCACTGTCAAACCTGCTGACAAGGGAGGCGCTCTTGTCATCTTGCGAAAGGACCTCTACCTGGCAGAGGCTGAACGCCAACTCTCTGACAACTCCTCTTACTTCCCCTTGGACCATGACCCCACAACTGAACACCAAGCCATCATCGCTGAGACAGTCAATGACCTCATCTCCTCTGGGGAGCTTCCTCCCACAGCCTCCAACCTCATTGGAGTCCTGTAGCTCAGTGGTTAGAGCACTCGCTTTGCAAGTGAGAGACCTGAGTTCAATTCCAGGCAGGGCGAAACCTTGGGCAAGTTTCCTTACTCCACACGCCTAATAATAATCCCTCCAAAACCAAAAACAATAATAAATTGGTCATTTTCAATCTACGACTGTTTGTGGGACATTGCTGTGCGCAATTGGCTGCCGCGTTCGCACACAAATATACAGTCAATTCACTTTACAGTGTGTTCTGTAAAGCGCTTTGGGACGTCCTCCCGACGTGAAAAGCGCTATATCAAATGCAAGGAATATTATTATTATAGCCCCCCAGCCCTGCACAGCCTGCCTCTACCTCCCCAAGATCAAACAAACAGGATTATCCCAGGAGACCCATTATTTCAGCCTGTTTCCTGCCCCACCGAGCTGATCTCCTCATATCTGGACTCCATTTTTGCTCCTCTTGTCCAGGTCCTATCAACCTACATCCATGACTCTTCTGACACCCTTGGCCACTTCAACAATTTCCAGTTCCTGGGCCCTGACCGTCTCCTGTTTACAATGGACATTCAGTCCCTCTACACCTCCAGCCCCCACAAGGACGGTCTGCAGGCCCTCTGCTTCCACCTCGAACAGCAGCCCAACCAGTCTTCATCCGCCATCACCCTCCTCCGCCAGGCTGAACATGTTCTGATAATGAACAACTTCACCTTCAACTTCAACCACTTTCTCCAAGTAAAAGGTGTCATTATGGGAACCCGCATGGGTAGGTCCCAGCTACGCCTGCCTGTTTGTTGGCCACCGGGAACACTCTTTGTTCCGGGCCTACTCAGGTCCACTCCCTGACCTGTTCCTCAGATACATCGATGACTGTGTTGAGGCTACTTTCTGCTCTTGCAGTGAAATGGAAAAATTCACCAATTTCACTTCCACCTTCCACCTCTCCATAACATTCACATGGTCCAGCTCCAACTCTTCCCTTCCTCACCATTTCCATCTCGGGGCATAGATTATCTACAGATATCTTTTACAAGTCCACCAACTCCCACCGCTACCTTGACTACACCTCCTCCCACCCCACCTCCTGTAAAGACTCCATTCCCTTTCCCCAGTTCCTCTGCCTCCACCACATCTGCTCTGACGATGTCACCTTTCACGTCAGAGCAGCTGAAATGTCTTCCTTTTTCCTCGACCGAGGATTCCCAACCACTGTAGTAGATCGTGTCCGCTCTATTTCGCGCAACTCTGCCCTCACCTCTTCCCCCTCTTCCCAGAATCGTGGTAGGGTCCCCCTAGTCCTTACTTTCCACCCCACCAGCCTCAATATCCAAAAAATAATTCTCTGCTATTTCCGGCATCTCCACAACAACAAGATTCCGTTTATAGAGCGCCTTTCACGTCGGGAGGACGTCCCAAGGCGCTGTACAGTTGGGTCAGGACTCCAGCGTGATCCAACCACTCAGCATTTCTTTCCCTCCACTCCCCTCTCAGCATTCCGAAGGGACCGTTCCCTCCATGACTCCCTGGTTAATTTCTCCATCACCATCAACAGTTCTTCTCCTCCCCCTGTCACCTTCCCATGCCAGTGCAGCAGATCCAATACCTGCCCTTTCACCTCCTCCCATACCACTGTCCAGGGCCCCAGATTTCAAGTGAGACAGTGATTTACAAGCAATACCACCAATGTAGTTTACTGCATTCGCTGCTCACGATGTGATCTCCTCTACATTGGGGAGACGAAACGCAGATTGGGCGACTGATTTGCTGAACACCTCCATTCTGTCCGAAAGCACAACCCCGAGCTTCCGGTTTCTTGCCACTTCAACTCTCCCACCCACTTGCACTCTGAACTCTCCATCCATGGACTCTTATGCTGTTCCAATAAGCCACAGCGCAAGCTCGAGGAACAGCACCTCATTTATCTGCTTAGGGACCTTACAGCCCTCTGGCCTCAGTATTAATTTCAAAAATTTCAGAACATAACAGCTCACATTCAACCCCTCCCTATCTTCTGTGACCATTACCACACCATCTGGGTCCCAGACACACCTTTTCTCTCTCTGGTCTGCCTGCTTTGTTGCAATATCCCCCCCACCCCTTTATTTTGCATTATTAACACATCTATTCCCCTGTTTTGTTGCAATCCCCCCCTTTGTTTTGCATCATTAACACCTCTTTAACCCATCATCCCCTGTCCTTTACCCCATTTTCTTCTTTGTTGTCCTTGTCCTGCCTCCCCCTCTCTGTCACCCCTTAAAAGCCTCTCCCTCCCAACATGCCCCAGTTCTGACGAAGGGTCGTGGACCCAAAACGTTGACTCACTTTCCTTTCTCCAGAGTTGCTGCCTGACCTGCTGAGTGATCCCAGCGACTTCTGTTTTTGTTATGTACAGTGTGTGATGGACAATATATGATAGAACTATCTACAATTAGTTATGAACTGTACACAATTTATGGTGGATTATATATAATTTATGATGGACTTTTCCTCCCAAACTCCTGAAAAAGCCAAAATAATCCAAACTAAAATGATTTGAGCATCTAGCCCAGTCATCATAATCTAGGTCACTCGAATGGATGTGAAAATTCCATGGGATTATTTTAAAGAACAGGGGGTTCTCCTGTTATCCTAGTCATATTTGTACCAGATAAACCAAAAATGCAGATTAATTGATCATTCATCTCATTTCTGTTTGTGGGATATTGCTGGTACAGATTTGCTGCAACATCTGCCTACACAGCAACAGTTAATGCACTTCAAAGCAAATCATGACATGAAGCGCTTCCGAGACATGTTGCTGTAATGGGAAGCTCTATCAAATGCAAATTTACTTTTAAAGTTATATTTAAAACTCAAAGGAAATCTGATTTTCTTTTTTTCCTGTCCTTGAAGGTAATCCAGGATATGAAGCTAACATTACAATCTATATTATTTGAAGCACATGAGCGAGATTCAACATATGACACAGTCCCAATAGGGCAGGATCCACACAGTTCCACAGAGTATTTGAACATCTGTTTGCATACTTACCCTTGGAGCTTCCAATCCCTTTTATAATCAGATCTATTTCAGCTCTGTTTCAAAGGATTTCAATTGGCATAGCATTAAACTATTTTTGGTGGCAATGTATTCTACGTATCTACTAATCTTAGGGGAAGATTTTTAATTTTGTTCTTGCTCACGGGTTGCTAATCCTGTATATATGCATTTTTTAAAATTATTTTCATGAAGGCGATAAACATCAACAACTGAATATTTAGCGCTCTTCATGCAGCGTAGCATCTCAGACATATCTTCCCATGTTGAACAATGGAACTTTTTTCTAATCTGGCATTAAGTATCAGAAACTCCGAGATCAGTGATGAAGGTTCTTTTACTTCCAACTTTTCACATGCACTTCCTATAGTACTAACACAAAGTTTCCATTTCTAAACACTGCCCATAAAATGGCTTAACTAGGATTGTTCTTTCAGTGTCAATGGATACTGAGCTGAACCCGACCAAACAGCACCTTTCAGATTATTCAGTGAATTTAAATCCAGAGCTCTAAAAGGTGAAGGTCATGGTGCTAATTCACTGGTTTCCTGAGACTTGGGTATTTTGTGTTCATGTTTTCTCATGGTCCTTCAACCAGTTTAACCTAAGTACCTTAGCTCCACATTGTCCCCACAATAACTTAACTTCCTGTCTGACACTGCCTGTGAAGCACTGCTGCCTAGACAGGTATGGAAGGCTGATTCTGCCACTTCAACTAAAGCCGCAATGAGCGCAGAAGTACCGGATGAAATGGCGGTTCATCTCCTATAAAGAGGGAAGAAAAAAAACACTTGGATGGATCACCGGCATTTCACTCACTGCAAGAGCCAGAGTCCATGAGCCAAGGCTAGAAACAGGTGCCTATGCTTGCAGTAGCAGTGACACAGGATCCACTGAAATCTATAAATACATTGGGAAGAAAAGCAATGTTCCTTCACTGGAGAGGAAAAACGCTCAAATCAAGAAAGAAAACACAACGCTCATTTTCTCCTCCCAGGATTACTTCCAATGTAAAATGAACCATTTAACCAAGAGATGAGAGCAGTAAATCTAAAAGTGAATGGGGGAGGGAACAAGGCATTGGGATTAGTGTAATTAGCTCCAGTGGAGTAGTTGGCACCAGCATAAACTGGATAGCTCGAATTGCCTCCTTCTGTGCTTTAATGTCTATGATTATTAATCTGTTGGAAGGAAGGCCGCTTTGTGGTTGACAGGACAAGACAGTCTGGCCATCTGTTTTTGTTCCACGATGGAAGCAGAAATCTTACATTAGGAATCAAAGCAAACCTCAAAAAATATTGAAGTCTTTTCCAAAATTTCCTTAACAGGAATCGCCAGCTCTTGGAAAACTAGTGAGGTTTCTTTAGATTTTTCTGGTGGGACTCTTCATTATTTAGATGCAAACCATCCAATCAGGCATGTTGCAGATTGTCTATTCCCTGAACCATCAAATGTACTAAATGAATATACTTAGTATGACTGACACAACTCCTACCTGGCAAACATCAGAGCGGACCCCAGTCTTCCAGAACCCTTGACTGCTCAGCTCTACAGTTACCTCACGCCTCATAGTATTCTTCTGTCGTATCTTCTGCAAAGCTTCCTGAAAGGAAATAGGTCTCAGTGAGATACAATACTAGACAAGCAGAGATCTCACAGACACTTCTGGAGCAAATTATACAGTTTCACCTGATTATTCCCAGAAAATGAGGAACACCTACCAAGGTCTAAATTGCAATAAAATCATAATCCTTACGTTTGATACAGTCCCTTTCACATCAGAAGAACTCCTCAAAGTGTTTCCCAAGATTATACTATGCTTTGTAGGCGACAGTCACAAAAGAGATGAGAAACAGTAATCACCATTTCCGAAAATCTCCAGAGTAAAAGATAGGAGAGAGCATTCTGTTATCTCACCATGGCAGTTCATTTACTCTCTGACCTTTTCCTTTAGTGTGACAGCTCCAGGAATAATAATAATAATCCTTGCATTTGATATAGTGCCTTTTTAATATTTAATTTTTTTAAAGGTATCCGCCAATTGATTAACAACCAGGTTCCTACTTACTGCTAGGCAAACAGAGATGTGTGGAGTAAGGAGGCTAGTGCTCTAACCACTAAGCTACAGGACTCCACCAGTACAAATATATGAATTACAGACAACTAAAACTGTCATCCTTTCAGTCAGATTGATGCTGCTCCTATTTATAAATAATGTAATCTACAGTTTGACCTGCTTACTCCCCAGTCCACCATCCGTCGCCTCCACTCGGCTGCCTCCATCCAGCCTCCTACTTGTCCCTCATCCCCTCTGCTCCACCATCGGTGGCCCCACTTTCAACTACTGTCCCTCAAAACTTTGGAACTCTCTCCCCCAATCCCTTCGCCTTCCACTTTTTCAGATCACGCCTGAAGACCTTCCTCTTTGACCGTTTCTGGTCACCTCCTCACTCCCCAAGGCTCGGAGTCAGGCTCCATCAATGTTAAGCGCTCCATGACATTACCCTGCGTGAAGATCACTATGTAAATGCAAGTTGTTGTTGTCATAGTGTAGAAAATGACTAAAGAAAAATTAAGAATAGGAATAATAATCAGCCATGTATTCAATAATACACCCATAACATCAAATCATCACAAAGTGCTTCACAGGAAATTTGCAGTCAAGTATAGACTATTGGATAGAAAGATGAGCAGGTATGAAACATGTTACTCTTTTAAATAAATTTGCACTTGTTATAGCGCCTTATCATGTGTTTGAGACATCTCAAAATATTTTGTGGGCGGAACACGGCAGCCAATTGCGCACAACAGTATCCCACAAACAGTCGCGGATTGAGTGACCAATGAATTATTATTATTATTATCTTTTAAATTAACTTACACGGTAAATCAAGAGTTAAGAGCCAATACTCTTTGAACTGCCTCTCTGAATTTGCAGTGCCTAGCTGCAGTGTTTGAACTGCGTACATTATTTTGCATGCATGATTAGATGCAATTGCTTTGCTCTCATCCCCACAAGTTCAATCACTTTGCCTCATCAAGCTCCAAGAAAGGAGGATCATACAAGAGAACAAAGTGGAATAGCTGACTCTGAACTTCCTCTCCAACTCAGTTCAGGATTTCCATGACAAAGACAAGATATTCCTACACATTTTCAAAGATGAATATTAAAAAGAATAGAGTGAAGTAACAAAAAAAATTACAAAGCAACTGATCGGGGCTACAAATACTGTTTTGGGTCCCAAAGGGTTAAGATCTTAACAGTTTATATTTAGCATATGGGCATTAGAAAAAAAGGAAGCTTTCAAATTAAAATTGCTCAGTTTGAATTTCTTTATAGTGTCAAATATCAATTTCAGTTTTCAAAGTCCAATAAGAAGGAGCACATTTTGAGCATCTTTTTACCCAGTATTACAAAGCTTTGTAGATTGCAGTTCCAAGTCTTATACAGTATACTTTATAATCAAACTACACAGGGCAAAATGAAACAAAAACAGAAGTCACTGGGAACACCCAGCAGGTCAGGCAGCATCTAAGGAAAAGGAAAGTGAGTCAACGTTTCAGATCCACGATCCTTCGTCAGAACACAGGGCAAAATATTGCTTTGTTCTTTTATCAATATGGACATCATTTACTGATTTACAGGTGATTAAAAGTAGATGATATTTCTTTTAATAATACAAAAATAATTCTTGCATTTGATATAGCCTCTTATCACCTCTTTGAGACGCCTCAAAACACTTCACAGAACAAATTGTAAAGTGAATTGACTGTGTATTTTGTCGGCGTATTTTAAAAAAACACTACTGGGGAGAAATGCTGGGGAGATATAAGACGTTAAACCGAAGTCCTGTCAGCCTGTTCAGGTGGACGTTAAAGATTCCATGGTGCTTTTCAAAAAGAGAATGGAGTTTCTCTCTCCCGGTATCCTGGCCAAAATTCCCAAAATAAAATTGGTCAACTGGCCAACACGATTTGCCCACAAAATACAGACAATTCACTACACAGTGTATCCTGTGAAGCGCTTTGAGACGTCTCGATGACGGGATAAGGCGCTTTATCAAATGCAAGGATTATTATTATTAATTCTATCTGGGTTTAGATTTACTCAATTAATGTAGCATTTTAGAGCATCTAGAATTTCACAAAATATTAAATGCGGTTCTGAATTTTGAAGCCGGGTGTCGGTAAGATCTGTACAAACTGCAACTTCAAAGCTAAGGCTGAGTTCAGCAAGTTGCCAATTCTGGAGGCTCTTAAATGCTCCGTTAATAGAGTAAATCTAGACCCAATAGGAATTTCTTCCCCATTTTTGTAATGCACTGCGATACCATCAAAAGAAACAAATGTGGTTGAGCCTCTTCCTGTCCTTTTCCGACCGGACATAAACACATCAGGAGAAGTTCACCAAGCGCTTCACAGGATATAGTCTAACGTACAGTGACTGTGTGTTTTGATAGAGATCAGAAGAGGGAACCCTCTTTGATTCAACCCTTTTCTAACCCACCAGTCCATGGAGGCCAATTGTACTGCCCCCTTCTGCCCCATCTGAGATCAGCTAACTCAGCACAAACCTGGTGTGGTAAAGGCAATGCACCAATGGATTCAGGAGGTTTGTAGAAAGATAACTACTTTCAATTCAAGTCAAAGCAATAAGAATCATTCATCCCTCTGAGGATTTAGTTATGTTCATTCAGTTTATGATTCTGGAAACACTCAGTACTTTATATTTCATTAAAGCCCCTACGTCATGTATCCTTTACACATTAGAGCCACTTTACAATACCATAACCATAACAAGCAACACCATCAGCGGTGTACAGATAGCACACAGAGCTTACCTCGCGTTGAGCTAACTTTTGCTTGTCTGCTTGTTTAACTTTTGGGCTATTTGCCAGCAGATGGCGTAGTTTGACATAGCTCTTCCATAGTTTCTGGTACCTGGAACAGAAACAACAGCTTACATTGATACCATTCCTTACCTTTATTTTCACACATACCCAACATCTCCTCTACCCTAATCAATATGCAACTGCAGAAGGATTTTTTTTTTTGGTCGGCCCATTTCCACAGTATGTGGAAACACATCACTATGCAGAAAGAGTCAATAACACAATGGCATTAGTGAGAAATTGACCAGTTTTACTCACTGTCTTATGCAGTCGTCTGATGTTACACGCAATATCCATCAGGCTAATATTGGGCATCGTGAAAAAGCGCTATATCAGACGCAAGGATTATTATTATTATTATTATGTGCAGAAAGAGGTTTACGAAAGTTGACATCAAAGAGTTAGCAAAGTTACATAACACCATTTATAAAGCTTGCAACTCGACTTTGCTGCAGGCTTTGGGGTCCAATTTATGACTTGTACAAACCATGTATCCAAAGGGAATTACAGCTGCCCTCAAGTATACAATTAACAATCAATGAGAGGGATTAGGGCACTAGAATGTTGAGAAAATATTTATTATAGAAATTTTTTTAAAAAGCAGGGAACACATGTAAAACCATGAGTGGAGCTTAAATCAGCATCCAGGATCCTCATTGCTAGATCGTTGATTGATTATTTATTATTGTCTCCAAAGATACAATGCAAGTAATAATATTTTTTCCTAACACATTTTTGATGAAAGCACATGTCTCAAGTGGAAGAGAAGAAAATTATTTAAGTAAGCGTGGAATTTAGAAATAATAATAATCCTTACATTTAATATAGCGGCTTATCACGTTGTTGAGACTTCAAACTGAATTGACTGTATATTTCATGGACAAAATGCAGCAGCCAATTGCGCACAACAGTATCCCACAAACAGTCGAAGATTGACTGACCAATTTATTATTCTTATTTTGCTTTGGAAAGGATTATTACTCCTGGAAAGCAATCCGTCAATCAACTAACAACTGGATTCCTACTTACTGCTAGGTAAACATGGACATGTGGAGTAAGGAAACTTGGTAAGGTTTCACCCTGACTGGGAATCAAACCAGGGTCCTCTAACCAATATGCTAGTTCTAACCAATACACTACACGACTCCACAGTGTAAATAAATAATTTTATAATCCAGCATTACCTGCTATCTAAGCAGGAAATACCTTAATAATAATAATAATAATAATCCTTGCATTTGATATAGCGCTTTTCACGTCGGGAGGACGTCCCAAAGCGCTTTACAGAACACACTGTAAAGTGAATTGACTGTATATTTGTGGGCGAACGCGGCAGCCCATTGCGCACAGCAATGTCCCACAAACAGTCGTAGATTGAAAATGACCAATTTATTATTGTTTTTGGTTTTGGAGGGATTATTATTAGGCTCTGTGTGGAGTAAGGAAACTTGCCCAAGGTTTCGCCCTGTGCCTGGAATTGAACTCAGGTCTCTCGCTTGCAAAGCGAGTGCTCTAACCACTGAGCTACAGGACTCCACAGGAATCGTATGCAAATAGGCACATTTTACTTCACTTGCATCTCCAGCTACAGCAATATTTATCGGCACGTTCATAGCTGCATTGCTTTCCAGCCACAAGTCAGTACCAGGACTCCAAATGCATGTTCACCTTTTCACCTACAAATGTACACTCTGATAGCTGCCAGTAGCCCCACAGAACAATTCCCAAGAGCATTTCAGCCATATCCCCGATAGCACAGAGGCTGCAGCAGAATCCCTTTTACTATAATATAGCACCACTAAAGACCTACAATTCTGTTTCTCCTCCATAAATGGTTCAATTCAAAAAGCAACTGGAAAATCTATAGGGAATTTCATACAAATTATTTGTACGGCAAATTCAGCAGCAGGTAGGGTAATGTTCAGTGAATCCATTAGTTCCACCTCATTCCTGCTGTATATATTATGCAAATGACATGCCAGCACATCAGCACAGTCACAAAGTTCCCAACTTCATTAATGCTTTGTTGCATTAGCCAATTACACATCTAAAATTCTCGGCTTTTAAATAAAGTTAATAATGTCTCAGTTCTTCTTTATCAAAGGCTTTGAAATGTTGCAAAGCTGTAGTGAGTGGTATGTTATAATGGACAGTCTACTTGTAAGGAATCACAGCAAATCATATAGACAAGCAGGCTAACGTATTTGCAAACACCATTCGGTAGCATATTGGTGAGGCATTAATCCCATTGTGAGTACAAATTTATATATAGAACTGACAAAGTGATTCCATAGTTTATTCTACAAATGCACTATCAAATCGGAGTTAATCAATAAACTGAAATACTATATATCATTAATAAGACTTGCATTTGTTATTTCACATCAGGAAGGCGGGTCAAACCGCTTCACAGGATATGCTGCAAAGCGTTTGCAAATAGATTAGCCTGCTTGTCTATAGAATTTGCTGTGGTTCCTTAAAAGTAGACTGTTCAGCCAAAAAATGCTGAACGTCCAACCCCAGAGGTCCAGCTTCTTGGAATTCCCCATTGATGGAGGGGTGTCTGCCTCTGACACAAGGATGTGCTAAATATTACATAGACCCAAATAAGAGGTTAGGAACTAGCTTAAAAGCTAGATTTGTGTTGAAGGTGAGGGTCAAAATGGTACTCCCTCAGTCAGGTAATTTTTGCCAATTCTGGAGCTTGGCAGCTGAACTGTAGCCAGACAGATACGTGTCTGTATCTTCATAGCAATGGTGTAAGTACTGCATAAAACTGGAGCACTCAGTTAGCATTATTGATAACTAACTGCACATCATGGCTCCCTTCTACATACTACTTATTTCCTATTGAACAGAGGAATTGGACTCAACTCACATAACAACAGCCACAAATTACATTTATATAGCATCTTTCACGTCAGAAGAACGTCCCAAGGTGCTGGACAGTCAACATCACACAGTACGTTATATGAACTGGGGCTATCAAAAAACTGCAGATTTGTTTCTGGAGCATTGTGATGCCTGGACACAACTGTGGTTAACAAGCTGACCACAACCCTGGTGAGATCTCATTGAGAGTTAACACAGTCAAAGTTGCTTTGCCTTTATTTATTTATGGTAACTGAGGATCGCAAGTGTGCTGAAGTGCGCATAAAATGTTTAAAAAGTATTAATAGAGTAACTGGAGAGAGGAATGAGAGAGCTGCAGCAAATCTCAGTACAATTAGCGGTGCCTGAGGTCAAGTAATGAGAATGGGAACAACTAAAACTCAAGACAATGACAGACTGACAGAGCGGAAACTGCCTGAGAAGGTCTTGTAGTTCGAAAACTGCTGATAAAAGGATAATAAAAAACAGCAACTCCAATATAGGAAGGAAGGATCCACACAGCATGGTATGTGTCCCACTGGGACCATACCACACACAGATTTCAGACGCTCCAAACCACTTGGTATTTTTGGAATAGTTCACTGCTCTTGTCCATGAGGTGCTCACAGGGAATAAATGTCATAATGAGACTATAATGAGTCCCTCGGTCCTTCATTAGATAGCAGAATGACCTTCTCAATGCTGTCAATTACACGCTACACAAATGTCAACAGTGAGGCACAAAATATCTAATTTTGTGACGGGTAATTCTTGAAACAAGACCATCTTTTTTTTTGGGAGGGTAGAATTCCCACAAACGTTCCAGAGAGAAAATACTACAATTACTACAATTATAGAAGCCAGACTTCTGCCTCCCAAAGCAGGGCTTTAAGACTAATTGTATCCTGACTGAGACCAGCTAACTCAGTCTGCGCAGTGAGTGTCAACCCTGCAGTTTTCTGGTGCGTTGCATTTTGCAGTGCTTTGTGTCACAAGGCCGTTGGGGGCAGACAAGATGTATCCAAAGCAATGGAAAAGAATTGGTGACATTCTCAAGAGGATTTACAGCATTATCAACATTCTATCATTGGGATTGCAGGTTTGTTACGGTGGAGTAAATGTCATGTATAGCATGCTTTCTCTATTTACATACAGGAGTCCTGTGTGTAGCTCAGTGATTAGAACAGTCGCCTCGCAAGCAAGAGACCTGGGTCCGATTCCCGGCAGGGTGAACCTTGGGCAAGTTTCCTTACTCCACACGCCTGATAATAATTCCTCGAGAAAAAAAAACAATAATAAATTGGTCACTTCAATCTACGATTGTTTGTGGGACGCTGCTGTGAGCAATTGGCTGCCGCGTTCGCCCACAAAATATACAATCACTTCACTTTACAGCATATTCTGTGAAGCGCTTTGAGATGTCTAGAAGACGTGAAAAGCGCTATATCAAATGCGAGGATTAGTATTATTATTACTTGCCGTGAAAAAACCCGCTATCCAATTGGAGCAGGGAAGTGACAGGGTTGTGTACATGCTCGCACTAGCCTCTCTCAAGGTTAATGCTGGAAATTCAAACTGTTCTTTCAAATGTATATTTTCATCCCGGTTTAGACATTAGAAATGTTGGGAGGTATGAAGATATACAGATGAGTTTCCATACCCATGACTTCTCCTAACATTTCTCCCTACACCCGCAACATTCACTATATTTACTGTGACTCTTCTACAATTTTTGACCAAAAATGCCTTGCCAAATCTACAGCCCTAACTATCATCCATGTAGACTTTCTGCAGCTTCACTCAGCATATCTGACATACAAGAAACAGGTGGATTTCATCCATTCAAGTCAATAAATAGTTCACAATGTTTTTGTTGCTAAATATTCGAATTTCGCTCAGACCCAGCTAAAACAAAAACAACAATTTGCATTTATATAGCACCCCTCATGCAGGGTACCGTCCCAGAGCTAAAATATAGTCTTTACTTCAGTAACTCAAACTGGCATATGGTGGGGGCGGGAGGTGAAGGGGGAGAGCATTCAGAAAATACATTTTTCAAAAGTTTTAAAAAATATATTGTCCTGTATTTGTATTCTAATGAATCTTCCCTCCTCTAAAAACATCATTACCACATGTTGAATTACTGCGCATAATACTCAGTCATTCATCAGCTCTTTGGTTTCAAGTATTCTGATTATTTAAGTCTGAATTAGGTATCTCTACGTAACAAACTTTTCTAACTATGTTTTCAATTCCAACCCGCCTGCAATAAAGCAATAACAACTTGCATTTATATAGCGTCCCGGAGCGCTGAACAATGGTGGAGTTTGACGCTGAGATGGGGCGGGGGTGAAAGGCGAGTTGAGTATATTAAACGATGAGGATATCTTAAAGAAACTGGTAATGAATCACATGTATTTTGGAAATATAACTCATCTGATTAAAAAATACATTTTTAAACTTTAATGTCCAGGGACTATTAGTTAGTTGTGAGTTGGAGAATAGCCATTATAAAGCTTTGAACTTACTGAGGGTCGCCAGCATAGCTCAGCTGTGCAGGTCGGATCCCGAAATGAACAATAATCGGAAAAGTTATGACATCGGGGTTAAACTGTTCCCGGTCCAACTGGTCAATGCGAACAGAGCTGGGTTTCTGTAAAGAATAAAAATGGAAGAGTGGGGAATAAATAGCCATATGAAAACCTGCAAAAGCACATTTATGTTGCGGCTGACAGGCCCTGGAGTGAAAAGACGTGTGTGTGTGTGTGTATTGCATTCACTTCTTAATTTAATTCAATAATCAGTACACTGGTCTAATAATGGCTTTTAAGTTTCATTTTCTTCTAAGGACTTACAATACATACTTATCACACTGGATTGTTCATTGGTTAGAGATTTACAGAAAACAAGGCAGCCATTTGGCTCCATCCCACAATCCCTTCGCATTGCTCCCTCTCTTGTCTCTTTCAAGGCACAACTCAAGACCCTCCTTTTTGACCATGACTTCCTCCGTCTCGCCCCCTCCCTTGCCACCTTCAAGACCCATCTCAAGACCTTCCTCTTCGACAGTGCTTTCGATCTCCCTGATTTACCCCCCTGCACTCCACCCTCCCCCACCCCCAGCTCGGGTCCGTAACTCTGTTTGTCCAGCACCTTGGGACGTCCTCCTGACATGAAAGGCGCTTTACAAATGTAATTTTGTTATTGTTGTTGTTTAAGCAGATTTCACACAAACCAAAATAACAGGACCTACTTATGCAAAGTGTGTTAACCATGTGTAAACACAGGTACTACAGATGAATTTATAATCCCTTTCAATTTATTGTGATTCTATAATTTACGGCACTCATAATTTCCTCTGTGTACATGTTTAATGTCAACCCAGTATAGTACACCTTAATATTGTTACTTCTCCAGTATCTATTTTCACGATGTACAAAGCATGACTGCTGAATATGACAAAGTCTTGGCATTCCTCCCCTATTGGTCTCTTCTGTGGACTCTGTGGGAGAGGAATCCATGCACAGATTCCCTGCAACAACAGGATCATTCTGACTGAAATGAGGATCTGTTGCATCAAAAACAGTTCCACAAGCAAACAAACACACAAGGGACACTTTGAGCACACAAGCCAATTTGTCCTACATGAATGCTCATCAGAACAAAGTAACGCCTTTGCCAAGAGGTTTCTCAAGCAGTCATTGAAGACCCTCCTTTGTGACCATGAATTCCTCCGTCTCGCCCCCTCCCTTGCCACCTTCAAGACCCATCTCAAGACCTTCCTCTTCGACCGTGCTTTCGATCTCCCTGCTTCCCTCCCCTGCTCTCCCCCCTCCCCCTCCCCCAGCTCGGGTCCGTAACTGTTTGTCCAGCACCTTGGGACGTCCTCCTGACGTGAAAGGCGCTTTACAAATGTAATTACGAATGTAATTTTGCTCCACAAGACAGAGGAATTCACGGTCACGGCGTTACTTTGTTCTGACGAGCATTCAGGTAGGACAAATTGGCTTATGTAGTTGACATCCTAGGTACAAAGTCATATCATGTGTGACAAGCACCTACAAGTAACAGTGTGCATCTCACCATGCTTTTCTGTTATCCTCTGTTCCAATGGCATAACGTGAAAGGTGCTACACAAATGTAATGTTGTTGTTTTCTTTCTCTTTTACAACCAGAAGTGCTTTTGAAAAATGAAACAAGCCAAAAAAAAATTCCCAAGCAATCAAATCATACAGTACAGCCTTTAAACATGAAATCAACAGATATTTAATTGTTCCAGACTTCCCAACTCCTCTCTCCACAAGCTGCTCCTCTCCTTCTTCAAGGTCCGTCTCTTTGACTGCACCTTCAGTCATCTTTCCCTTCCCCCCAGCCAACACCTTTAGCCCTCACCTTTCCCGAATCCAACCTCCAGCTCCGGTTAAAAACTCTTGACTGTCCAGCGCCTTGGTGACATTTGCCCACCGTGAAAGGCACTATATAAATGCAATTTGTTGTTGGAATATTTTGGTCAGACTCGCAAGAAATATGCAGAAGTAAATTAGTGGACCGCTTCATCAAATGAGCAACCTAACTGAAAACCGACTGTCCGACAGTGGGAATGAAGATGGGGTGAACATTTACAGTCTGCTATTGTCTCCTAACAGGAATTCTTTGTGTGCCAGATAAAGGAACCCTGAAGAGAGCTCACTAGGCTAACTCTCACTCTTGCTCTAAACCATCTCCTCTGACCAACTGATACAGGCAGATAGAGCCAGGCTGACACGCTAATCAATTCATGGGTTCTCCCAGGTCAAGTCAGAGCCGTTAAATTAATCGGAGCTTCGAACTTATGTAGTTGACACCAGTTGCAGACATTTCTGATAAAGAGAGCAGTAAAAATATCCCACTGGCAGACCTAAATATAGCAGCAATAAGCACACTCAGTCACTGCACCCCCTTCGTGTACAGCATATTCATCCTGAGATGACTAAGAATATGCTTCATTCACGTGAACATCAGAAAGCACTTTAAATGACCATGTCAAAGAAATTCACTCGATGATCTCTTGTTCAGCGCTATAGAAATAAAACTGTAATAGATTGCCAAATAATTCAAATGAATCCATGCATATTTTTGACAAAGATGGTGTAGAGATATTTTTTCTTGCAAAGTTGTCATCTCCAATTTAGTATCTAGCACCTGAATATAAATCCACCAGCTCTGTTGAATACAGTTTGCTCATTAGCTGTCACCCAGTAACTTTCAAGGTTTCCCAAACAATTTCACCTTAATTTTTTACCACAGTGGCTTTCCACTTCAACACGTACCATGCCAGGGTAGCTAACGATCATTCCTTTGCATTCCTCAGCGTATTTCTGCCACTCCAACTCCTCCCATTGTAACATGTCAGCAATCTCCTCCTCGGGAACGAGAGCCTTGCTGCTGCGCAGGAGATAATGCAGCACCTGGTGCATCGAAAGCACCTCCTTCCCACTGTCTGAGGTCGAGGGAAGCAAAACACAAGCTGGGGTCAGCAAACGTAATCCACAATCAATAATAACAATAATCCTTACATTTGATATAGCGCCTTATCTCGCCTTTGAGACGTCTCAAAGCGCTTCCAGAAATACCGTAAAGTGAATTTACTGTATATTTTGTGGCCGAAACGACTTGAATCAGGGTAGGGTCTCGAGCCCATAACAGTGGCGGAGCTTGACGCTGAGCTGGAGGGAGGGAGGAGGTGACCGTCAGCAAGCTCGAAGAATAAGGTCATTTAGAACCAAATCAGCGTCGGCTCCACGTGTTAGTTTCAGGCCCCTCCTCTTTTACTGATTGTTTTTTGCGGCAAATTTGATGCCTCAGCAGTCCTAGTTAGTGACTCTTTATTTTAAACAGCGACTGACTTCCACGTCATCTTCTTACAAATTAAAGGGTGTGGTGAAGGTGTGTGCAAGCTGCCTGTGGCTCCATATCCAGATGCTGTTTCAGCAGCTGTGTTTTTAAAAGCTACAGTCACCGTGATAAAGTGAAATACCTGCACCCCCTTCCCTGCACGGGGCTGGAAATTTTTGTCTCCCCTTCCCCGCACGGTGCTCGTTACATTTTTGTAGCTGTAGGAGCAATGCAGGCCTGAGCACCTCATTCAGCTCTAGTCTGGCTCCCAGGCCCTGCATTGCACATTTGTGTATGTGTGTTTGTGTGTGTGTGTGTGTGTGTGTGTGAGAGTGGAAGGGGGGAACTGAAATATCTTCAGAGATTTTCTTGCCAAACTGAGACTAACCAAAGTCTCACCAAGAGAGTTTGTGTGAGATCTGAGACATCAAATTTGCTACAAAAAGTGATTGATAGAGAGACGGGGCCAGACAAGACAACTCAAACCATGATATGAACCCTTAGACAAGTTAGATGGACGTCAAGTATTCATCACTTGAGATCCTCAGCTGCTCTGGATGGAGTGTCAACATTGTGCCCTGGTGAGATGTCCTAGTTAGCAGGAGGAGGGACAACCACATACACCACAAGGCTAACTCATCAACCTTCTCCTCAACAAGAATGGCAAACAAGCAGAGAGGACGGAAGCTATCTGTAAATGAACTGCTCGACAGGCATCTCACTCAGAGATTCAAATAGGATCCGCGCAGAAACATAGCACATTTTCATCACAGAATCAGCCATTTTCCGCTCAGAGAGAGACTATTCGGCACATCTCACCTCTTATAAAAAGAGCATATAATAACTAAGTCACCTCACTGCCACAGACACAATTCAGCTCAATGGCCCCTTTCTATACTACAGATTTCTATGTTTTACAGAGCACTAGAAGTCTCCATCCTTCGCACTGTACTTTAAAATGTGGTTCTGTCTGCAGGGGTAAAAACTGTTTACATCTGTATTTCGAGCTGCAATGCTCAGTTGTTCAGTTCATACACTGGAGTAGTAATACGATCACAATGTGGGCACTAAATCCCTCAGGATGGTCTGTTTATTCACTACTCACCAGGCAGAGACCTAACAAAGCGGGGCATGAAGTGAAATCGTGGGCAGGATGGAGTGCCATCTTCAAAGCGAGGACCTAGGGAACCAGCAAAACATATTTGATAAGAAACATACTAAAGCTGCCTTTACTTATCCTGAATACATTTCAAAGCTAACTTAAACAAAATATATAAGTATCATTATTATATAGACGTATCATTTCCTCTCCTTGAAAGCCACCAGGGTCAAGCAGCCTGAGCAGGCTGATAGAAGGCCTGTGACCGCAAAGTAGCTCCAATGAGCTGTTTACACATGGTCTTAGGATGTCTTCGGGCTGTGAAAGGTGCTATACAAATGTAATTTTGTATTGTATTTTACTCAGTAAGGAAGAGGGAGCTGAAGTACCATACTCAATGTTCAACGCTACGCTCTGCCAGTCTAGAAAGGAATCCTGGATTGGGTTAAAACCCAGAGTTCATACCCGGGTCTCCATTTTCTGGCAAAGCAGTAATACATAAAGTTGGCAATTTTAGTTTTCTACTGGAAACTAATTGGGTGCAAAATCAAGACATGTATTTAAGTGTACTACTTCAGAGTAAAATCATACTGCACTTTTATCAAATGAGATGCAGCATTTTACAAAAGAAGCCCAGACTTTAATGGATCCGCTGTCTTCAGCCCTCAATACAAGCAGCTCAGCTTCAAAAGATGCATAGCAAAAACTAGTTGCTCACCGATCTGATTTTTTCACGAACAAGCTAAGTAATCGTTTCATTAAACACATTATAAGTGGTTTGCACTCTTTGCAGAGTGGTTAATAAATGTTTAATTCACTAACATTTAGCCTGTGTTTTTTGTAAACCTCAGTTCATTAGCGCTGTACTGCTAACCTTACTTCATTTCATACATATTTCTAAAAGGATCTTTATGATTTTGCTGAAGATGGCCAACAATTGCAAATTTAACATTTGAACCTTGAACAAAACACAAGTGGACCTGACAAACCACATGTTCCCAGCAATGCCCACAGCTCTGTCTTTTTGGTCAACTGGGTGTCTGACACGTGCGGAAACCCATCACCATGCTTAAGACTATCCAAGGGGGTGATACCAAAACCTCAAAGATCTGTTTCAGAATATATGCTTGTGTAAAACAAGTTGAGTCGGGAGGGTGGGGGCTGAGTATTGTAGTGAGGGGCACATAGAGATTATTCCTGCTGGTAGTCCAAGGGTTAATATTAAAGACATTTGAATCAGATATGAACTAAAATGGGTTTTAACAGGTAAAAAGTGGCTTCCCATCTACTCCATTTGCTCAGCTGTAAATGTAAAATAAATGCTCTGCATTACCAAGAATGTTCCAATCATACAGCTCCAACAAGTCCCTGAACAAGAATGAAGAGAACAGCTCCAGTCCCTTAACACAGAAGTTCTGAAAGGAAAAGAGAAGCAAGTACAGAAGCAGCTTTGAAATGGTGGCAGCAAAAAAATTCAGAAAAATAAAAAAAACATGTAGTCTTCATAAAACTCATTCTGAAACAATGCCGTAAGTGTGACACGTAATGTTTTTCACTTAGATCTCAACAAACCGAGATCACCATTCTGTAAAGCTTAGAAAATGAAGACAATTTTACAGTGAAGAGATTTGCACCGTAACCCTTTTAATGAGCTCTTTAGACACAGCAACCTGTCCTTACATTTTTCCAGCAGATGATGTTCTCCACTTAAATGTAAAGAATTCAAAGAATATTAGTCCTTACCTCTGGCATCATTTCCTCTATGAAATGAATGGTGTAGTCAATGTTGAAGCGTATCACTTTGCATAAAGGAATCTGCACAATCAAACAAGACTTTCAGCATCATGTGCAGCTTATCAATCCTATGAAAGTTGTATTTTGTTTGCTATCAATCTATTTGTCTTGGTTGCTATCTTCTAACTTACCCAATGGATATACAGCAGATCTTCAAATATTTAGCCCATCCTACCTGCCCTCAAATACAAAAACAAACATTACATTTTCTATTTGTTTTTTTGGTCAGCCAGGTGTCTGATACGTGCTGAAACCCATCACCATTCTTAAGAATATCCAAACCAAACTAAGAATTTCTTGTATCCCATCTATATATGGAAACCCCATAGATTTTTTTTACATCTCTAAATCAACTAACCTGTTCTAAATTTTGCACTAACTAAAATTCAACACGGTGCATATTTTACTGAGATATGCACTAACAGTAAAACAAGACAAGTCGTTGAAAGAATGCACTGTGGCGTTCAGCAGTTCGGAAGAATTCCTCACTCTTAAACAGCTAACGCAACATCTGGATCAATATAACATCAGAATATTCACAGAAATAATAAAGGTTTTAATCAATGCCTTATCAGCATGGTTTGAAGTCTGCATATATTGTGCATGTACAAACTTCAGCCATCCATATAAAATTCTTGTGTTAAAATATAAAATAAAATTTGCGATATGAGGGTAAAACATTTTCTGAAAAAACAAAATTACAAACCGTAAACAACTTGTTATTTTAAACAGAAATCAATGAATAATGTTTCCCAACAAGTTCTAGTAGCAGTGTACTTGCATATTCAGTCCACTGTAGGGCAGCTGTACCGCAGCACCAGGTAAATGCACTGCCAGCACTGAGCACATTCAATGTTATAGTGTCATGGATCACAACGTATGGAAAGGAGAAAGTCACTGAATAGAATTTGAAACCAACTAATATTTTTCATGATTTACATATCGGAGGCATCAGTTTTGCAATCCAACCTCTGAGTTATAAGTTTGATTTGAAGGCAGCAAGAAATGGGGTTTAATTTTTTTTAAGAAAAAGTAGTTTTTCACTAGCAATGGTGAGAAAGACACCAATGATGCAGGCACTGGTTTTCTCTGATTCAAAATGAAAACATTGCACTAGAGAGTGCACATATGTCCACAGTGATGGAATTTTATTTTCAATTTTACTTGTACTTCAACAGTGGCATAAATCTTTCTTTTTGATCGGGTATCTGATATATGTGGAAACCCATTGTCATAATTAAGAATATTCAGGCTAAGAATTCCACATTTATATGCAACCCAAGGAAGGAACTGTCTGACAAGTTTTCCCGCTGCTTGTCCAGCTAGGACCACCCTACCCATTAGAGCTTTGGCTTGCAAAGTTAACATGAGTTGAGTGGAAAAATCCCTGCCCCCAGTAACTGGTTTGTCCTTCTAAGTCCTGGTGAAGAGCCAGGTTGGCTAGTGTGTTGTTAGCTGTGGACCCACCTGGTTTAGAAACCAGACTACTGGAACCACCATAGAGGTTTGGCATGATCTGACATTCTGTTGCCAAGTATGTTACCTTGGAGAATGAGACCAATTCCATGAATAAAGTGAATTAAACAAATTTTTAGGACACAAAATAAGCTATATGCCATAAATAAGTGAATGCATTTAATCATTTGAGATATATATATATATATATGTGGAACGCTCAGTCTGATTTGGATACCCTTAAAACCATGGTAATGGATTTCTGTGTGTGTCAGACAACCGCTGACCAAAAAAGTTGCTATTGAAAAGAAAGCATGTGAATTCAGAGCAACTTGGCAGTACTTTAAACATGGAGGTAATGCATAATGGCAATACTCACGTTATTAAGAGACGTGTGGGAAAACAGAGAAAACCCTTCGAAGATGTATTCATGGTCATCATACTCTATCACAGTTGGTCTGTCAGTCTAAAAAAAATTGTAGGGTTCAATGTAACTGTTAGATAAAAGCGATACAAGAGAAAACATTGGAAAAGATCTGTACAAGCACTCACCAAAAAGTTAGTAGGTGGAGATACAGTAATTCTGTAGTGGAACAGTCGACCTGCATTGTTGGTTATTGGGCGACAAGCTACATGGACCTGGTATAAAGTGAAACATATCATTGGTGTTATCATCACAATAGTTTTTCCAGGTTCTCAATATGACCATGAAAAATAAGGTAGACAACAGCATAACTACTGGCAAAATCACCCCAAATCTTTAATCATAGCAACATACACTGAGTTACCAGGAGTAAAGATTGTTTGTGAATGGGGGGCTGTATTCTGCTCTTTTATGCTATTTATGCACTTTTTCAACCTCATTATCACTCTTGTTTTGTGTTTTAAATGCAACTGAGTCTTGTCTAGGGCTGGGAATTCAGTGTCAAGTGGGTGCACCGTGCATCGGATCACAAGTAAATCTGTTTGGCTTGAAAGGTTCCTGATCAGTACTGTGATCTCAGTTAAACTGATTGTTCTCCAGGAAGATGCCAGAATAAGGCACTATAAACATTAATTTCTGGCTGGAGTGAGCATTGGTGTACAGAGTAGCAACTCACTGGGCGAATTTAACCAATGTTCTACCAATCTATGCACTAATGATGAGCCAAGTGAAAACTAGGGACATTTAGAAGACAGACCTCAAACACCTTATTGTTCAAGTTAAAGTGTTTCAAATGAGTGCTACGCAGACTGCAAGAATGTTGTGGACAGAAAATCACCATAGACGAATAAAGGTTTGGAACAAGGAAGCAAGGGCCTTTGGAATTGTTTCATCAATACTTTGCAGTGCTACGATCAAGCAAATCATGCAACTATGAAGCCTTAAGAGAAGAAATAATCAGGGACCAGATTATGATTGGAATAAAAGATAAACTACACCGGAGAGGTTAACACTGCATACAGCCTTACAGATAAGTATGGAAGAAATGTCAAGAATGCATATGAGAGAAATTGAGCAAGATACAGAAAGAAATATAGAAATAGATGAATTGTCTCCAGGAAGACGCTGGAATGACTCGGATGAGGAATACATCTCGCCTTCAAGATACACTTTGCAAAAGATACACTTCCAAATGTTAAAAAGTATTTAAAAGTTTTCAAAACTGGCAATAAAAACAATATAATTTTTATAAAGCAATACATTACCAGAGAGACATGCAAACATATCTATCACTTCACTTTCGTTTACACAGTAATACTTTATCCAGTTGCTGTTATTCATCTGATAATGAGTTTCCAGTTTCAGGCAAATAATGGCCAAATTCATGAGTTCTGGAAGATTATAACTTCACTTATTCACTCTTGGATGCATAAAAAAAATTTCAAACAGGTCTTCCAGCAAATACTTATACAATAACAATTTGTACTTGCAGTTCTTTTCACACTGGAAACTGTCTCAACGTGCTTTACAGGGAGGGAGTGGGAACCTGACCTGAGATGAGGTGGTTAAGAAATGGGTCTATAAGAATTTATTTGCAGAACTAATGAATTTCGGTTTTGAAAACTGAGGGAAGGAGCAAGGTGGAGGGATTTCAGAAACTTTCAGAGAATGGGGTAAAAGTAGCTAAAGCTTACCCATCGACCAAAGAAGGTGTAGGACATGAAGCAGACCTTAGTTGGGGATATTAGAGTAGTTGGGTGAGCGAGGAGGGTTGCAGAAAATGACGCAGAGGGTGAGACAAAGTTGTGGATGCATTTGATGGGAAAGACGAGAATTTTAAAGCCAATCGCTGGAGTAAAGGGAGCCAGTGGACCCAGATGAGTAAGGGTGATGGGCTCACAGATCTTAGTGCAGGAAAGAATTTTGGTTGCGGTAATCAAGTGATCTGGTGCTTGTGGAAGATACGGTGGAGCTTCAGAGGCCAGTGAGCAGGGCAGCGGGTCAAACAACACACCAGGATTCCATACCAGAGAACAGATCTTCAGAAATTCAGTGATCAGATGGCTTTTAAGCTTTGTTAAACGTAGGAATGAGTTATCATGCCTCACCTCTTCGCCAGGGTAGATGCTATGTCTTATTCCAGTTCGTTTGGCCTTTGCGCTGCACTTACACAGTGGTCCATCGTTCATCTGTTTTTTAAAAAAAATAAACTGATGAATAAAGCCAAGGAAATTCTAACCAAATAATTCAATGCGTGAATATTGCTCGATGGAAAGCAAAATGAGGATTTTAAAGCCAATCATTATGGTGGCTGAGCCACTCCAGTCATCCAGTTGCAGGCCAAATGTCCAAAAATGTTATGAATTAGAATATAGAAAGGGCATATGTATTTGACTGCACGTCAGGAAGATGCCTGACTGCTTCACAGTCAAATCTATTATTAAGCACCTACTGTAAGGCCTAGTGACTATTTTGTTGACAAATATGGCAGCCAATCTGCACACAACAATATCCCACAAACAGTAATGGAGTGAGTGACGATTGCTGGCCAGGACACTTGGAGAAACTCCCTTCTCTTTTCAAAGAGTGCCATGGGATCTTCAACATCCACCTAAACAAACAGGTGTGGCTTTGGTTTAACATCTCATCTAAAGGAAGGCACCGCCAACATTGGAGCACTCGCATAGTATTCTGTTGGAGTGTCACCCTGCACTGAGAGATCAAAATACCCACAACCTTCTGACTCTGAGCTGAGGTGCTGAGCCAGTCTGGCACTTGGCTACCAGTGTTATTCATGGGACGATGCTGGCATAGATCAGATGCTGTATTTCTTTACATAGCAACATTCACTTAGTTTCTAATCCATTACATTCTGTAAAGCTCTTTGAGAAGGTTTTTTTTACATGAAAGGCACTATATCAATGCATGTTACTATAATTTGGCACGCAGAAGGGTTTCAGGCATTTTACTGACTTAGGGAATTATTGATGTTGAGTTATACAATTGACAACAAATGAAAAGAACAGAATAACCTGTAATCCTTTCCAATGCTTGTTCATAAATTAAGTTTGTGCTGATACCTCACCTTCCAGTAAAGTAAACCTTAGTGAACGTGAGTTCTGGACAGTCACTTCCCTGGTCAACACAGCACTTCACTAAGATTGAAAATTAAGATATTCTCTTTGCAAGATATGACTTTGGGATATTTTTTAAATCAAGTAAGACTTTGAAATTTAAAAATGTTTTCGACACAGGGAGAGTTCTTAAGAGTAGAGCTAATGGAACACAGATTTATCGATTTTTATAGAAGATCACGCATTTCAGAACTATTCGTTGTAATTGCTACTAAACACGTCACAGCATTCTCAAACCTGGCCGGGATCATTGTACCACAGTTCCTCATGCAGCCGATCCGGGTGAGCCTTTCTACGCTTGATTTCCTCAATGACGTCGATAAGTTCAGAGTCTGAGCTGCACGTGCTACTGTCATCACTCTCCTCATCTGATTCACAGTCCGACTCACTGGAGCTGACATCTGAATAGAAAAAAATCGCCTTTAAATTTCACTTGGGCTTTTGCTTTTCTTACCCCCTCTCATCCCTACAGGAAGATCTCTTGGATATGGTATTTAAAAATTGGGTTATTTTATCAAAAAGGAGAAAAGCTAAGCGATTCAAGTCTTTCATTTCTGATCCCACGTATGGTGGTACTTAACTGACTGATCTACACAGGAAGATACAAGTCTGCTATCACTCTACTGGTGCACACACACTGCTCATGTTTCATTCCCCAACTTGCTGCACATCACATTTCAGGCACATTTGAGACTCTGAGGTTCTCGGACACCATCAAGCACGTCATATTTTTTTTTAAACCTTTAAAACCCATTCAAAGTTTAGGCTGGTGTATTTTGACCAGGTCAAACACGCAGCACCTATGATTTATTTTTAATCCGTAATACTCATACCGATTTCTTCATCCAATTTGGTCTTCGGAGGGTCCCACGGTGGTCTAGCTGCTTTGGCTTTAGCTTGTCTCTGGCCAAGTTCCTCTTCAAACTTCTCGTAAAGATTTCGAAGCTTGCTTGTGCCAACGACAGTGGAGTCTCCCTGAGGGATTTTTTTTTGAGGTTTAAAACAAAATCTTTAGAATAATCCTTAATTGATATTGTCAAAAACAACGCAAAGCGCTTCACAGGATCTATTGTGATGTGTGCCCCAGCAAAGGAGCGTCAGCCTGGACTGTGAGCTAAAAGTCCCAATATATGTTTCGAAGTAACTATGAGGGAGAACTATTTGCTCCACTGACACAGCACCTACAGGCTCTTGGTACAGCACACATTCTCACAATCCTTTGTTTGGGGGAGAGAAAAACTCTTCTGGCAAAACGTTTAACCCATGAGCTCTAACTTTAAAGCTTCAATCTACGACTGTTTGTGGGACATTGCTGTGCGCAATTGGCTGCCGCGTTCGCCCACAAATATACAGTCAATTCACTTTACAGTGTGTTCTGTGAAGCGCTTTGGGACGTCCTCCCGACGTGAAAAGCGCTATATCAAATGCAAGGATTATTATTATTATTACATCCCCTTACAACAATTTACATTTATAAAGCGTCCTTCATGTAGGATAATGCGTCAAGAGCACTTTACAATGACAGGATTGAACATTGTGGGGGGGGGGGGGATGTGAGCAGAGGTTGAGGGGTTAGGTTTTTAGGCACAACTTGTTGTCACTTAGGATGGGGTTTCACAAACTTTCTGGGCTCAGGGCCCCCCATGACATTAGGCATCCCCACTAGGACCACCGGGTGGAGTCCCACTAGTACCACCGGGCTTCCTGTGGAGCAGCGAGGCATGGCTACCATAGGTGGTGGGGGAAAATATTTTGGGAGGGGCTCATCTCTGATAGGCCAATGGCTTGCTTTCAAGACTTTCTGTAGCCTTTGCGCTTCCTGCCACCGCCATGTATCTCCCAGCTCGGTGGAGACCTCCTGAAATCATCTGGCGGACCCCAGCTTGGGAACCAATGACTTAGGAGGCAGGAAATGCACAGTAAACCTTAGTTAACTGAGTGGCGGGGATGAGCAGAAGAGTGGGGTGGGAGAGGAGCAGGGAGATGACGAAGAGTTACAGCATGGAAGGATTTACAGGTGAGGGTGAGAATTCTGAAGTCGACCTGATCCTTACCACCTGATCCATAGGATCACTAGAATAGTAATTTTCAGAGTGAGTACAGCGAATCCACACTGGCTTTGTACTCAGTGCATCTTCATCCTCTTTCTCTTCTTCAACTTTCTCAGGGAGGGAGTTCTCCTCGATCTCTTTGGGTCGGGTGGCGGGCTGAGATTTCTCCTTGCTTGAGGAGTGACCTTCTCGCCTTCGTTCTTTCTCATCCTCCCAGCGAGGCCTCTTCCTCTCTCTGCTGCTTGAACGGCTTCCAAGTTGTAAAAAAGTAAAAATGTAAACATTCTTCAATCGCCTTGCAAATTAAATTATCATAACAATAATCCGTAAATTTGGTGTAGCACCTTTCATGTCGGGATGACGTCCCAAAGGGCTTCAGAGGTGATATTGTAATGTGTAGTGACTGTGTGTTTTGTGGGCGAGCACAGCAGCAATGTGAGTACAGCAGCATTATGAGCACAGCAGTGTCCCACAAACTGCGTTGAAGTCAATGAACTAATTTATTTAGGGGATTGTTAATTAGGACACTTTCTGATTAGTACTTTCAAATGTACTAACCAAAAATTTATATAAACACTTCAAAATATACTACAATTTACAAGTTTTTTTTGTAAAAAAACAAATGTTGTGAAATGATTATACTTGTAATTGTGTTATTTCATGGTCATTAAGTTTATTACCCATTAAGTTATCCAAACCATTCATTATTATTGTTCGAATTTTGTTTTAATGCATAACTAGAGCTATAATGTACATCACCCAGTGTGTAATCTACAAGTCAGAGATGAACACTGGCAAAATTGCAAAACAAAGTGACCAAAATTACATTGTACAACACCGTCATTGTTGAACAGACCACTTTAAGTTGTAACAATTATAAATTACAATAAAGCTGTCTTTGTATAGGGGGCACATCACAGTGAAGGGGGGAGAAAATCTGCTGACACGTGCACACAAAACACAAATATACACAATCTCCTTCAAGCATTTCGCCCACAAAATTTACGTACACTTTACAGTATTTTCTGTGAACCACTTTGAGATGCCTCGAAGACGTGATAAGGCGCTATATCAAATGCAAGGATTCTTATTATTATCTGTCTCCATAGGACACAATGGAAAAAGAAAAGTTCTTTATTTTGTACCTGACAGGTTTCAAGGATTAGTCCACTGCTATTTGCTGGAAGTTTAAAAGGAAACAAGGTGGGAACAAAGTTTCTGTCTGTCACCCAAACTAGACAATGCCATTCATATATATCTCTGTTGACTGACAAACTCCCCCAGCGAGTCCTTCAGTTCTGACAGCTTGCTGTGCGACTCGCAAGATTCCTAATCAATGCTTTCAGCATTAAATAGCCATCACTTTCCAATCCCAGGCATCAGATTTCAGAAAATCTCACCTGCGTGTCCTTTTTCGCTCCCTTCTATGTTGCCTGTCATAAGATGGGGACCTGTAGCTGTCCCGGTGCTTCTGTCGATCCCTGAGGGGAGATACACATCTTGAAATTAACGTTTTTCAAAGTTAAAGAGCAAACACATTGTGAGAGAGTGGTGCATTTCCCCTGCTATATACTGCGCGGTTATGGGTTTCCCCATGGTCAGACACCTGTCTGACCAAAATAAAATTCTTGCTGCATCTTATAACTCAGAAGTTGGTTTACAAATCTGAGAAATCATAAATCATAGAAACTGTTAGCTGGTTTCAAATTCTACTCAATTACTTTCTCCTTCCTGTATGTTGTCATGCTTGACACTTCAACATTGAGTGCTGCTCATTGCTGGCAGTGCATTACCCTACAGTGGACTGAATGTGTAAGTGCACCGGAATTGGAACTCGTTGGGGACACAGTATTCATTCGTTTCTGTTTAAAATAAGTTGTTTGCGGTTCGCAATTTTGTTTTTTCAAAAACCGTTACCCTCATATCGCAAAATGTGTCATTTTACATTTTAACACAAGAATTTTACATGGGTGACTGAGGTTTGTGCACACACAATATATGCAGACTTCAAACCAAGTTGACAAGGCATTGATTAAAACCTTTATTATTTCTGTGAATAATGTGACGTTATATTGATCCAGATGTTGTGTTAGCTGTTCAAGTGAGGAATTCTTCCAAATTGTGCTGAACGCCACAGTGCATTCTTTCATTGACTTGTCTTGGTTTACTGTTAGTGCAAATCTCAGTAAAAGGATCAGTTTTGAATTTTAGATGGTGGCAAATTTAGAACAGGTTAGTTGATTTAGAGATGTTTCAAAAAATACATCTATGGAATCTCTATGTGTAGATGGGATACATGGAACTCTGTTTGGATACGCTTAAGCACGGTGATGGGTTTCCGCAATTGTCAGACACCCGGTGGACCAAAAAAAAATGAGCCTGAAACAAACGTAGCTGTAGTGACATTTTAATTAATAAATATGACTATTTCAAGACTATTTATTTCCAACTAATTTCCAACAGTTTCAGAAACCGAGTTAATATTTTTATTGTTTTAACTTGTTGATATTTCATTTTTACTTTACTATATTTAAAACATGATCTCTTAAACGTATAAATCACAGTATCTGTCAATAATAACCACTAAAGATATTTATTGTTTGGGAAAATAGCCCCAGAAATGATTTTTTGGTTAAATTTAATGTCTCTAATTTTCTTCCTCCTGGCATATAGCTCTTAGCTCCCAGTCTGACTCCTCTTGCTGCGCTACAAATGCGTCCAATATCCCAGCTAAGGAGCCAGTGTTCATTTGTGAGCAACGCAGTGAGTGTTGGCAGGTCATCCCAGTCACAATTAAGCCTGACCTCTCCCCCACCCAGGAGTCCCGTAACTCAGTGGTTAGAGCACTCACCTTGCAAGCGAGAGACCTGGGTTCAATTCCAGGCAGAACGAAACCTTGGGCAAGTTTCCTTACTCCACACGCCTAATAATAATCCGCCCAAAACAAAACAATAATAAATTGTTCATTTTCAAACTACGGCTGTTTGTGGGACATTGCTGTGCGCAATTGGCTGCCGCGTTTCGCCCACAATTATACAGTCAATTCACTTTACAGTCTATTCTGTGAAGCACTTTGGAATGTCTAGAAGACGTGAAAAGCGCTATATCAAATGCAAGGATTATTATATTATTACCACAAATGGGTCACATTCATGATATGCTTTGCAAATCTTAATTCTATGTTTTTTTTCTGCTTGTTGTAGTTCTTTCCAGGAGATTGTGTTTTTTCTAGTTGAACAGATGTTGAATAGTCTGTGCAGTTTAATACACCAGTTTTTCAGTGGAATCTGCTAACCACTGGCCTGGACTCAACTTGCGCAATTGAAGTTGAAGTAAGGAAGTTGTTCTGTAGCCAGTGAGCCCTCAAACAGATGCTCACACACACTTCTGCTCGTTGAGAATAAATTTGTCTTTCCCGTCTGTAACTGATACTATATTTATATTTCTACTCAATATACATATCATGAATAGATTGAGTTTGATCATGCAGAAATCATGGGAACAAGTTAATTATATTAACTGCATCCTTTTAGTAAGAAAAGTTTCTTTCTCTTGCTGTCATTACAAGCTGCAGCTTTACATTTTGTTTTTAAATTCCCACTCGCATCAGTTTATACACTGCCCACAGAAACCCCTGCCCTATTGCTGACAGCCACGTATGAGCAACAACATCAGTATGTTACTTCAGGTATTTTTCCACTGTTTACCAAGCAGTAAGTAGGAACCCGGTTGTTGGTTGATTGGCAGATCGCTTTTCGATGGGGAAATAATCTCTTCCAAAAAAAACAAAATGATAAAATAATAAGAATTTGGTCACTCACTCCACGACTGTCTGTGAGACACTGCTGTGTGCCATTAGCTGCCAGATTTTGCCACCAAAATACAGTCACTACACTTTACAGTATATTCTGTGAAGCACTTTGAGTCGTCTTGAAGGCGTGATAACGCGCGATATCAAATGCAAGGATTATTAACATTATATATGCGCTCTGGCAGCAGAAGGTACTAACGAAGAAGCAGGAAATCCAGCTGATTTTACCATCCATGACCCAGGGAAGGCCAGGGCCATTTTTTTTTATTCCCAAGCATCCCTGGGGAGAACTCGCAATCTCAGCAATACACCTCGCGTCTCCAACTGATCGATCGAGCCTTGGTGGCGTCTCGTGCAAGTTCAATAAAAACAAGAGGAAGGAGCAATATTTACTGCAGTTTAAACATTAAAGTTTATTAAAGTTTATATTTTTATTTCGAGTTGCATGAAATGCTTCGTTTACAAATGGACTCCATAACAACGTAGCTCTATCGCCCCTTCCTTGTCTTTTTGATCATGAGCGAGAGTACCAGCCAACAGCGATCGACCGGTTGGAGACCCCTGCACTGGACCATCGGGGCTGCCTCAGTACCCAAGTGTCAATAGTACTAGACTCTTTCAGTATAACCTACGAAAAACATTTAAAGCCACATGGATACATTTTCATAAATGAAAAAAGCCTGAAGCTGGGAATCCTCTTGGTCAATAATCACGGAATATGACTATGAGTAGAATAATAATAATAATCTTTGCATTTGATAGAGCGTCTTATCACATTGTCAAAGATCTGTGCCAGAGATTTTTAGATATTATTTTTGTAAAAAAGCTATGATATTAGCTGCTTAGTCATGAGAATAAACGCTGAGATTAACAGTTATCACATCCTGCCATTCAATTTTGAGAGTTTATTGGTCACTGTCCACCATGATATTCGTCAAAAAACAAAAGGTTAAGCAATCTCTCATTTATACAATACAATTACTTTCACGTAAGGAGGATATATGTATATAAATAGGCATATCGGGTAGGGCAAAACCTTGGGCAAGTTTCCTTACCCCACCCATCTCTGTCTACCTAGCAGTAAGTAGGAACCACTGTACTCTTCTGCAAAGCGCTTTGAGACGTGATATCAAATGCAAGGATTACTATTATTATTATTATATTCAAAATAGTCCAAGATAAATAAATCATCTCAGGGAGTAGGTAACACAAAAAAGACCTCACAAGATTCATTCTCATTACTAATAATGTCACCTCAACTCTAAAACACATTACAGGCTGATCTCACTTTAACATTGAGATCCTTGTTCTTACTTTCAAATACGTTCATACCCTAGGTCCACCCAACCTCTCTGATTTGATGCACTCCAACTGCTCTGCTTTCTCAGGGCTGCTGCCCCCGGAAAATTGGGAGCCCAAAATAATAAGAATAAAAATTCTTCTATTCGATATAGCACCTTTTCCGTCAGGAGGCTGTCTCAAGATGCTTTGCAGCACTCACTGCAAAGCGTAGTGTTTGTAGGCAAGCTATACCCATCACCACCTTTTGCTTCTCAATCCTATGAGTATTTCAGTGAGTAAGTGGTAAATCTATAGAGCAGGCTCCCTAAGGAGACGGTGGAAGCAGATAGTGTCAATTCATTCAAATGCGAATGAGATAAGATTTCTTTTAGAAAATGATATTTGGGGATACAGTTTAGGAGTAATTTGAGAAATGACAAGTGTCGGATGCTTCGATGAACTAGGCAACTTCGGATCTAAGGTTGCCGAAGTTTTCTACTGTGTTGGTAAACTAATCCATACAGAATTAATTGCTAGAAACATCTGCATTATGGTAGCATGCGACAGCCAGGATGGTGGAAAACGGATTTAATGGACCTTGGTCTTTTATTGTCTAGCAATTCCCAGGTTCTTATGTCACCAGCAGAGTCGCGGTGAGGAAGTGCGAGAGCTGCTTACCTGCTGTGATCGCGATTTCTGTGTCGGGTCGGAGATCTTCCCCGATCACGGCTGGACCTGCGGCGGCTGCTTTCTGACCTCCTGCGTTCGGGGCTCCTGGCCCGGTTCCTGCGATCCCCGTGGGAGTCTGACCTGTGTCGCTCGCTGTGGCTCCTGTAGCCCTGCCCCTTGTGGTGATGCTCGTGGTGCCGGCCGCGGTCTGGTGAGCGCCGTTCGCTTTGCGACTTCACCGCCGGGTAGTGCTGCTTGTGTCTGAAGTGGTCAGACTGGTAGGATCCTGAGCTGGGGTGGCAGCTGTTGGATGTGGAGCTCTGCTGGTAGGTGCTCGTCGCAGATCTGTGTTGGTAGGCACTGGTCCCACAGCTCTGCTGGTACACACTGGGGGCCGAGCTTTGCTGGTAGGGACTGGTCCCGGGACTTTGCTGGTAGACACCAGTCGCAGAGCTCTGCTGGTAAATGCTAGGCCCACAGCTCTGCTGGTAGGGATTGGTCTGCTGGTAAGAGCTGGTTGCAGAACTCTGCTGGTAGCTGTTCCCAAAATGCTGCAGCTGAAAATGCTGCGAGTAGCTCATGGTATACGGAGCCTGATAGTTGATTTGCTGGGGTGGGGCAAGCAAGGGAGGTGGCTGAGTGGGGGCTGACGGCATCAAGTGGTGGAAACTATCCTGCCTGTCAGGGGTGCCCGACACTGCGGGCGTGGGACTGGGCACAGGAGGGGCCTGAGGATAGCAAGGCAAGCCAGGAAACCCTTGGCGGACCGGAGGGCTAGGGAATGGTGCCCTCGCCCTTACAGGGCATTGATGCATAGGATTCTGTCTAATATCCACCTCACCTGGCTGGGGAACGCTGGGTGGATAGGTCATGAAGTCTGCTCTGGGAGGAGCGTAGCCTGTGTTTTGTGGGCTTGTGAACCTGGGAGGGGGAGTAACCTGCTGGTCACACAGAAGTAGCGGTGGGGGCTGCTGAGGATGGGACGGCCGATAACTTGGAGGCTGAAAGGTTTGTTGAGGCATTCTATTCCCTGACGCACCTCTACCCCGAGGCCCTCCAGCTTTAGGGAACGTCCCGTGGCCAGTGGGTGCAGATCCCCCTCTTCCCGAATGAAATGACATGGTGCTATCTGAAACCAAAACGTTGATTACTTTTTTTTAAAAAACGCTTGGAACAACAACAACAAATTCCATTTGTATAGCGCCTTTCACATCAGGAGGATGTCCCAAGACGCTGACTGTAAACATTGTCCAGCATCAGGTGCAATCACCTTGTAGGCTTGGATTGTACAGCGCTGGAGGTGCCACCACTAGATCACTGAAGGTGCCATGAAATAAATGACTAAGAATAACAAATTGCACCCATAGCTCCTTTCACATCAGAAGGATGTTCCAAGGTGCTGGATAGTCAAGGGATTATTCACCTGAGCAGCAGAAAAAAATACCTCTCATCCAGGACTTGATGTCTGACAGGCATTCTGTTAGGACAGCGGTGGTTCTAGAGTCGAGGGTGGAGGCAGAGAGATAAGAGTTGGGTGTCACCTGCATACATGTGTAAGTCACATCACCGAGCAGGAGCATTAGATATTAAAAAGGAGCGTGTGGATATTTGGGAGAAATTGTTGTCAGGAAACCACCAAGAGAAACTCCCTTCTCTTTTCAAATAGTGCCACGGGATCTTTGACAGCTACCTAAACATTGCAGAGAGGACCTTGGTTTAACGTCTCATTTAAAGGACAGCAATCGGTATGTCAGACTAGACTATATGAGTTCCAAGTGTATGGACAAGAACCTCACTTCATGGGAACCTCAGTAACAGAGCGACTCACGATCAGGCTTCTTTTTCAAAGTCTTGTTTTTTTAACGGAAACTCACGATGATCAAAAATACAAACTCATTAGTCAGGGCAAACCAGCCTATACTACGAGCTGTCCTCAATTGCGAGTTTCCTCTGTAGTTGAGAATAAGACCGTTATTACAGGAACGAGTATAAACTATTGCAATCTAAGATTTTAAACAATTTGGATTCTTCAGTGTTGTATTGGGGGTGTGGGCGAGGAGAAAAAACAAGTAGATTTAAGTCTGCTGAGGGTAGGTCCCCAGGGGCTGAATAGTTACCATATCTTAGTGGATGAACATTCTTGGGTTTCGGTTGATTTACTTTAAGGATTTACTTTAAGGATCGGGGAATATAAATGAAAGTTGATTTACTTTTAAGGATTTACTTTAAGGATCGGGGAATATAAATGAAAGTTGTTTGCAACTGGGGTTGTAATCAAGAGGAGTGGAAGGCAAGGAGGAGTGAGGGGGGGAGAACGACCAAAGTCACGGTCAAAGAGTAAGGTCTTGAGATGGGCTTAAACGAGAGGGCGAGGGGAAGGGATGGAAAACATTACCGCCATTAATACTGTACTACGAGGTTGAATTGGTGGGTGGATTCCATGATGGGGTAAACAGCACATGGTCTGGAGGAGAGTAGGTTGTGGGCCAAACAGCCTTTTTTTCTCATCTACACACTCTCTCATATTGTCAGCACAACACAAACCACCTCAGCATCTAATACAGTTCAACCCAGAAAAATATGCACAGATAGTTGTACACAAACCTGTTGCTGTGGGACCCCTTTCAACAGAAAACAAAAACAATCACAATCACATCAATAGAAAGCAGCTCATACCAGAGGGTTTGCAAAACAAAAAGCATCAGCTGTTAAAGATACCCCCCCACACCCCCCACATGTCTCCCTCCAGCTTTCCCCACAGCACTGGGTCTCCTCACCTTCACACCAATCTCTGCACAGAGAGGAGTCACAGCCCCTTCACTCCACTCACTCACTCACTCACTCACTCAGCACTGAGGGCTCACAGCCTGGGCCAGGGGTGGCCCCTCTGCTGCACAGTGAGGGGGAGGGGAGGGAGGGGAGGCTGGGGCTGGATCAGGAAGCAGAGCTGCTCACAGCCACTCAGCACCACAGCCACACGGAAGTGCCAGCCCTGCCCTGCCCAGCCCTGCCCTGCCCTGCCTGTCCTGCCAGCCCTGCCTGTCCACTGGTGAAGGCACCTGCCAGTCACAGCCAAGGTCTGCAGCTGCACATCATCCTCTGGGTTTACACACATCCCGAACAGTCACAGAGACAGTCACACACTGACGCAGTCACACACTGACACGGGGACGAATTGATGGATTTTATTTTATTATTCTTTTAAAAAATCCACAAAGGGAGTGACTTCAGTGCAACAGCAGCACTGGGGGGTTTGGGGGGGTGTTGGGGGGGGTTTGTTTGCAAGGATATTGCATATGAAAATAAATGTGAATTGAGAGAGAGTGAGAGAGGGGGGGGGGCGTTCCTGCTGTGTGTGCCCTGTGGGGGGGGGGGGACGGGACCGCCTGTGTGAGTGTGGGGGCGGTTGGGGGTGAGGGGCTGTGTGGGAGGTGTCGGTGGGGGTCAGGCTGTTGGGGGGTGAGGCTGTGGGGGGGGGGTGTGGGGGTTGGTGTGTGGGGGGGGGTGTTTGGGTGCGGGGGGGGTGACGGGGGGCGTGGTGTGGGGGGGGTGGTGAGGGGGGGTGTTGGGGTGAGGGTGTGGGGTGTTGGTGAGGGTGTGGGGTGAGGGTGTTGGTGAGGGTGAGGGTGTTGGGGGGTTGTGGGGTGAGGGGTGTTGGGGGGGGTGAGGGGGGTGAGGGTGTTGGGGGGGTGAGGGGGGGTGTGGTGTGGGGGGGTGAGGGTGAGGGTGTTGGGGGGTGAGGGGGGGTGTTGGGGTGAGGGGGTGTGGGGGTGAGGGTGTTGGGGGGGTGTTGGGGTGAGGGGTGTGGGTGTGGGGGTGAGGGTGTTGGTGAGGGTGTGGGGGGTGTGGGGGTGAGGGTGTGTGGGGTGAGGGGGTGTGGGTGTGTGGGGGTGTTGGTGAGGGTGTTGGGGTGTGGGTGTGAGGGTGTTGGGGGTGTTGGGGTGAGGGGGTGTGGGTGTGGGGGGTGTTGGGGTGTGGGGGTGAGGGTGTTGGGGTGAGGGGGTGTGGGGTGAGGGTGTTGGGGTGAGGGGGTGTGGGTGTGGGGTGTGGGTGTGAGGGTGTTGGTGAGGGTGTGGGGGGGTGTTGGGGGGGTGTTGGGGTGTGGGTGTGAGGGTGTTGGGGTGTGGGTGTGAGGGTGTTGGGGTGAGGGGGTGTGGGTGTGGGGGGTGAGGGTGTTGGTGTGGGTGTGGGGGGTATGGGGTGGGGGTGAGGGTGTTGGGTGAGGGGTGTGGGGTGAGGGTGTTGGTGAGGGTGTGGGGGTGTTGGGGTGAGGGGGTGTGGGTGTTAGGGGGGGTGTTGGGGTGTGGGTGAGGGTGTGGGGTGTTGGGGTGAGGGTGTAGGTGGGGTGAGGGGGTGAGGGTGTTGGGGGGGTGTTGGGGTGGGGGGTGTGGGTGTGGGGGGGTGTTGGGTGAGGGTGTTGGGGTGAGGGTGTGGGGGGTGTTGGGGTGTGGGGTGAGGGTGTTGGGGTGAGGGGTGTGGGGGTGAGGGTGTTGGTGTGGGTGTGGGGGGTGAGGGTTGTGGGGTGTTGAGGGGGTGTTGGGGTGAGGGGGTGTGGGGGTGTTGGGGTGTGGGGGTGTTGTGTTGGGGGGGGACCGCCTGTCCGGGTTCGGCTCAGACCGGAGCGCTGTTGGTGTCGGACAGTTTCCGCCCAATCAGAGCGAGGGAGGGGGGGAGGGGGCGGTCCCGGCGCTGTCCCTGAGTGACTGAGTGACTGAGAGCGGCGCCATGAGCAGCTCCGGCCGCCGCCGCCGGTACCCGCAGCTGCCGGTCTGGGTGGTGGAGGACCATCACCATGTGAGTGGCTCCCGGGACAGCAGCTGGTGATGGGGGGAATGTGAGAGAGAGAGAGAGAGAGAGATCACTGTGCAAATACCCTCCACCATCACCACCATCGTCATCTCAGAGGGAACCCCATGTCACTGTGTAGTAATATAATAATAATAATAATAATAATCCTCGTATTTGACGCCGCGCCATCGTCTCGTCTTCGAGACGCCTCGAAGCGCTTCGCAGAATTGGCCGTAAAAGGGAAGTGAACCCGACTCGTGCGGCTTTGTGGGCGAACGGCGCGGCCGCCCGTCGATGGGGCGCAGCGGCGCACCCACACACACACACACAGCCGTGGAGCGCTGCACCGACGACGACGACGATGATGGTGATGATGATGGTGATGATAGATAGTCGTCGTCCCTCGTGGCATCATCGTCGAGGCGTCTCGATTCGCCGCGCGGGATGATCGGGGGGGGGTTGGGGGGGGCTCTTGAGCCGCCGTCCGGCGCGGAGAGCGCTATGTCCATCCACGTTGCTGCCGGTGTTGTACTCCGGAGTGACTGGATTTTGTGCAGTTGTGCTGCGCTGAGTGAAAAGTCGGGATTTTTTACGCTTTTCCTTCATAATAATAATAATCCTTAACATTTGATGTGGCGCCTTATCACATTGTCGATACACCTCAAAGCAATCAACGGGATGCACTGTTAAAGTGGTTTGACTGAATTTTGTGGGCGAAACGGCTGTTTGTGGGACATTTGCTTCGTGCAAAAATTGGATGTAGACAACACACAGTCACTACATTTTACAATCCTGTGAAGCGCTTTGAAACTTCACCGTGACCTGAAAAGCCCTGTACCAGATATAAGATTGCTATTACTATTCGCTGAACTGTCTGTTTCAGCAACAGTTTGTATTTGTATTAGTGTCTCTCACAGCAGTAGGACGACTCAAGAGAGGCAGTCAGCCACAAGAACTCTCTCTCAGACATAGCGTGAGGTATTTTAATGTGAGGATGAGAAATAGTAATAATAATAATGATAATGATGATGATTGTTGCAGTTGGTATAGCACCTGGGTCACATCATTGAGATGTCTCGATGTGAATCACGGGATTTACTTTAAAGTGTAGTGGCCATGTATTCTGAAGGGAACCTCAAGCTGACTAATTTCGAACAGCCCTGCATCAGCACTGCCGCTCGTCCATGCTCAGAGAATGAATGACCTGACCAACGCTTAAGGGAGGTTAACTGCGCACAACAAATTTGCTCGTGCAGCAGAGGAATTGTGTTTGGTGAAGGAAGCCCATAAGCTTCTGTTCCAGCTTGTTTGTGTCATCTTTCTCCTCTTCTTCTTTTCCCTTCCCACCCCACCCTCGCGAGGAAATTATGTCAGCCTGGCTCAGTTCTCAGCACTCTCACCTGCATGTCAGAAGATTGTGGGTTCAAGCCCCATGTTAGGAACTTGAGACTCGGCCTCTACGATCTGAGACACTTTGAAACACTTCAGTGCAGTTAGAATCTGCTGTATAAATTGACCAAGTTAGCTGATAAAAACAGTCACTACAATTGACGGCAATTACCTGTGAAGTGCATTGAGACATTTCAATGTTACCGGCATTGTTTCAATATCAGGATTATAATTATTTTATAAATTTGAGTGAGCTGTGGTTACAGTATTTACAAAGTACACTTAAACCGTGGCTAACCAGACTAATGGGATGGGGGGGTGATCCAGCCTGGCAAACGGAATTTCCAGCTAAGTGCAGTTACAATGTCAGTATCAGCATTTTTCAAGATGTGAGCAGAAAATAGTGAATAAGATATCTTCTGCTTGTGGGATTTAAATAATCTGAATCAAAATTGACATTCCCAGCCACTGTGACGGCCAGTGAGGATGTTCAAATTTGCCACACGTGCGGAGAGTGCGCTGGTGGGAGTCTGCACTCGGGCCGTGGAAATGTTTGGCCCACAGAATTTTTTTAAAAAAATGTTTTGGTTTCGGGCCCGGTCCGGCTAGGTTCGAATTCCAGATACCCGGAGTCCAATAATCTGGAGGTTTACTGTAACTTCCAGAGCGACTGACAGATGTTGACAGAATCTGATATTCACAGTATTTAAAACATCTTGTTTCTTCCTCTGACTTTCAAGGGTTGTTTAATGCCTTTGTTATTTGGATGCTCTGCAGGTTCTGCCATACATCTACCGTGCCATTGGTTCAAAGCATTTGCCAGTCAAAAATCTCGCCTTGGTTCATCTGGATTCTCACCCAGATCTTCTCATCCCCATCGACATGCCTGCTGACAACGTGTTTGACAAGGAGTCACTCTTCGGGTAATGCAAAAGAATTACTAGACAGACAAATGTTTGCATTGTTCATGTTATTCTTTGCGTTGTAATAAGATTAAAGGGTATTCTCGATGATGATTTTATTATGTTTGAAAATATAAGCCTTGCAATTTAATATAGCACTTCAACAAGTCAGTGTCTTTCAAGCACTTCAGTTTTTCTGTGACTAGGTATTTTGTAAGCTAACTCAGCAGTCCTTTTGCGTACAACGGTAACCCACAAACAGCCATGAAGTGAATGACCATCATTTTATCTCAAGGATTCTCGGCTCTAGATTCTAGGCCGGGTCACTGGGAGAAACACCCTTCTCTTGTAAATAGTGCCATAAGGACTTGAACATCCATCTGAACAGGCTGACAGGACATCGATTTAACATTCATTTAGATCCTGTGTGTTTGAAGGTCCAATGTGTAGTTTGGCTACTCTACAAAGATGTGATCAAGTAGACTGGAATACCTTTTTCCATCTGTACCTTTCTTGCGATCAAAGAGAGGTATGAAAGGAGATACAGGTGAGTAGTGTAAGGTTCGCCAGAAAGAAACTTTACCCAATACAGGAGTTGTGAATTGCAGATCTTTTAATATCACATATAATTCAAAAGTTAATGCTTTAACACATACAATTATTATATCGCTAAATTACATTAAAGCAGTAAGATTCAACCAAACCGATATTACCCGATTCCATTGGGGACATCGCTGTCCACCAGCTGTTCACAGCTGTTCCTCCTGCGATAATTCCAACCACTTTACCTGTCGGTTTGTACCTCAATTTAACCCATGTGACCCTTACAACCCAAAGATGGAGTTCAAAGGATGTTTTGTCCAATCATCTCCACAGTTTGATGTCCAATCATATTCCCGAATTGATCCATCCAATCATCTTTCCTTACTCAGGGTAATCCCATAGGTTATCAAGGTTTAATCTTCTCCGCCTCTGATACCATGTGTGAAAAGTTCACTTTGACAGTTAATTGTCTGGCACCTTTAGGTTGTAAATTTGTCTTCAAATCTGTTGGAGCAAACTGGCTGGCACCAAAAGGTACATTAGTCAAGACAATGTCTTTCTAAGTGAAATAATACATGTGAATGCTGACCTATGGGATCTTTCGTAGCTGATTGTAGAATGCTTTTATCAACACAACCGCCATGCTGTTTACTTGATGACACCATCCATCAGACATGTCACAGAACCCAAAAACACAGACCTCAAAATGAACTCTCGCTCACATTCCTTAAGATCAAGCAAAATGTCTCTATATCAATTCTTTTATATAAAGTGTGGTATTAAACAACAACAAGATTACATTTCTATAGCGCCTTTCACGTCGGGAGGACGTCCCAAGGCACTGGACAGAGTACAACATTTCAGACAATGCTTGCTAAACAATGATCTTAGCAAGGATCTTACAGGAGAAACTGTCTGCTGATGTAACACAGCCAGCAATGAACCATCTCTGCCTTTGCCTTCCAGTTTAAACAAACTGTTTGTTTATTGCTGAATTTTTTGTTTGCACAGACTAAAAATGAAGTGTTTTTTTTTGTTTCCATCTTTCTTCACATCTGCAGAGATTTAAGCATTGAGAATTGGATAATGCCCATGGTTTACGCTGGCCATTTCTCTCATGTTGCTTGGCTTCATCCGTTTTGGGCTGAACAGATCACAGCAGGAAAGCACAGCTTCTTTGTTGGCAGAGATTCTTCAACTAAAACAATCAGGTATTGCAACCATTTGAGCGTGAATGCTCATAGCTACCGATCCATGAGGGCCTGATAATGATTTTGTACAGCCTCAGTGAATAAATATTAATAATTATTGTATTTCATAAAGTGCCTTAGCATATTGAAATCCCTCAAAGCCCTTCATTGTGCTTCTCGGTAAAGTGTACTGCCAGTATATTTGTAGGCAAACACAGTAACCAATGTTGCTCACAGGAATATCCCACATACATAAGGCTAGAAAGTGAATGACTGTTTTTTAATCTGGAGAATTGTTGCCAGGACACACATGAAAAACATCCCCTTTTTGAATAGTGCCAATGGATCTTTAATGTACCCATAAACAGGAGGATCTGACATCAGTTTTATCTGAATAATAGCACTTGTGACCGGTGGTAGCTTGGCTCAATTGGTAGCCCTCTCACCTCTGAGGTCGGAAGTTGTGGGCTCAAGGCTCACATCAGGCCTTCAAACTCAGAGTCTAGATTGACATCCATCACTACTGGGTGTGTGCTAGACTACTGGAGGCACTATCGTTCAGAAGAGACATTAAATCAAGACCCATGTCTTCCTATTCAAGTGGTTATTAAAAGAATGCATTACAGTAAACCCCAGCTATCCGGACCAGCTCCGGAAAAAAGTTCCGGGATGCCACGATTCAAAGATCCACCCTGTGTTATCCCCCTCCCGCCAGCCCACATGATTCCCACAGCTTGACACTGATTGGTTTAGCCGAGGGCATCAACAGGGCTGCATTGTGTCAGTGGTGATTTCTGTTTTTTTGCCTAATTTATTTAAAATTCATTTTATTTATTGTGTGAGGATTTATTTTTATTTAATTTATTTTAAATGTTAGGGATTAGGATTAGTCAAATTGCACACAGCAGTGTCCCACAAACAGTCGTGGATTGAGTGACAAAAATGTTTTTGTGTGGGGGAGAGAAGGGATTATTAACCCCAGAAAAGCGATCCGCCAATCGACTAACTACTGGGTTCCTACTTACTGCTAGGTAAACAGAGGCACGTAGAGTAAGTAGACTTGCTTAAGTTTTCCCTCTGCCCGGGAATCGAACCCGGGTCCCTTCCCTTGCAAGGCAAGTGCTCTAACCACTAAGATGCAGGACTCCACAGTTTACCCCAATGTTTCTCCCTGTGTCCTAGCCAATAAGCCACCGCTATATTTTAAATAATGCAACCATAATTTGTTTTATTAGTTAGAATTTTCTGTGTTTTATTTTTTTTCAGCTAAATAGTAACAAATAACTATGTCTCCAGTGAGAAGCATACTCTTCTCATGGAATAATAGTTCAGAGTTATAATGTGCATGCTCGTAGATCATACCCACTGAGTTCTCATGAGGTCCGATACCTGTGTTTTGTTGATTTGACCACCAGAGCTGTGAGTGCTCAATTCCATAATAATCAGTGGTAAGAGTGGAATGATGTACACCATCTATCAAATTGATATGCCACAAAATATCACAGGCTCATGCTCACAATTACACACATGGTTAGCTACAAGCCTGATTTGTGGAGTAGTGTAGAGGCATGGCAGTCCTACGTAGGAACAGAAGGAAAACGAGAGTAAAGAGGTGAGTAAATCAACTTGGAATCCTTTCGACATCTTTCCACAGTTTGTAGAGGAATCTGAGGGTGTTTACTGGCCATATTAATGTGTTTAAAATTTTAAATGGAATTGGAAAAGTAAATCCAGATCAATAATTTAGGATGCAACAAGACAGTACAACAAGAGGACATAGATGTAGAGTTGTAAAGGGCAATTTCAGAACAGGTAGCAGGAAGTTTTTCTTTATGCAGAGGTTAACTAATAACTGGAACAGGTTCCAGGAAAGATGATAGAGGTCAGGATACTGAACTCATTTAAAAAGCAGCTTGATGCTGTGATGGGGGGACAGTAGGGTGAGTATTCTGAAGGGATGAAATCAGATGGCCAAAGGGCCTTCTTTATCCAAATTGATGTGGTGATGGACAAAGTCCATACTATAGAAGGGAAGGAAATTAGAAATACTTTGACAAGAAAACTAAAAACATTGCCTTAACCTGCCCCTTGATGGTGATGTGTCATTTTCATAGCCAAGAAAATACTTAAAATAGAATTTGATTTGCATTGCAGGATAAAAAGTATCTATTGTTGCCTTGCTTTACAGTATTGCATTTCTTATCATCATCAGGGTTACCAGCACAGAGAGCTACTTCCTTAGTGATGGCCTGTATGTATCTGAGAACTTGCTAGAGAACAGGAAGCCATTGGAATTGCAGGTCATTAGAGTAATGGCCACAGAGCAAAGGCACCAAGACTGTGAGGAGGAGAACGAAGAAACCTCAGCAAAGAAAATAAAGAAGGAATATATGTCTCCTGAAGGAAGTTCGTCTGATGCTGTTTGTTCATCGCCATCCAAAGTGACTGATCAAAAGTCCAAATGTAAAACTTGCACTGATAATAGCACTCAAATCATCACATCAACAACACTTGGAAAGTGCCTTCAGAAATCCAATGACCTATGTAAAGCAACAGTGTCTTGTGAAAGTGGATCAAATCAGCAGGATGAAATCGTCAAGGACATCCTTCATGTCTTGGAGGAAACGGATGCCTACGTGCTTGATATTGACTTGGATTTCTTTTCCGTTCAAAATCCTTTTAAAGAAATGTATACCAAGGTACCTACATTATTCAGGCTAGTTTGGCAAAGGGCAGAAAGATAATAATAATACTCGCATTTGATACAGTGCCTCATCACGTCGTTGCGATGTCTCAAAATGCTTCATAGAATATACTGTAAAGCGAATTGACTGTATATTTTGTCGGCGAAATGTAGCAGCCAATTGTGCACAACAACAACAAAAATTACATTTGTACAGCACCTTTCACGTCGGTAGGACGTCCATAGCAATGTTCCCACAAACAGACTGAATTGAGCGATCAAATTATTATTTTTTTGGAAGGGATTATTAACCCCGCCAATCGACTAACGACCAATTGATTTTACACAATCAGATTCATACAGAGACCTGTAGCTCTCAGTGGTTAGAGCACTCATCTCGCAAGCGAGAAACCTGGGTTCGATTCCCAGCATGGCGAAACCTTAGGCAAGTCTCTTTACTCCACACTCCAGATAATAATCCCTCAAGGAAATAAAATTAAAAAAAATCAATTTGGTCACTTCAATCCATGACTGTTTGAGGGACACTGCTTTGTGGGATTGGCTGCTGCATTTCACCCACAAATATACAGTCAATTCACTTTACAGTATATTCTGTGAAGCGCTTTGAGACATCTAGAAGACCTTAAAAGCGCTATATCAAGTCCAAGGATTATATATATATTGGATTCAGTCATGTTCCCTGTTATCCTATACTTCATACATTGGTATCTTACATATTGTACATTGAGAGTGTCAACAAATAATAATCCCTCCAAAACCAAAAACAATAATAAAAATTGTTCATTTTCAATCTACGACTGTTTGTGGGACATCGCTGTGCGCAATTGGCTGCCGCGTTCGCCCACAAATATACAGTCAATTCACTTTACAGTGTGTTCTGTGAAGCGCTTTGGGATGTGAAAAGCGCTATATCAAATGCAAGGATTATTATTATAAAGCTGTATGTGCTTAGGTAGCATAGTGCTTTAGGAAGTTGGAGCTTATTTGCTAAGATTCAATAGGAAAGGTAAGCAGGGCAAGAAAGGTAAGATTTAATAGGAAAGGGTCTGGGGTAGGTCTGCTAACTAGGTGAAGGGGAGAAGAATGGAGACAAATGTGCAGGACCACCCTTGTCCCCTTCCAGGTTGGATGTTACTGTCTTTCACTGCGCTGGCTGTGTTTATCAGTTCCTCTCTTATAGTGATGTGGAGACGTATGAAGGATGATTGTGACAATTGGAACTCTAGAAAAGGGCTCCAGATTACCTGGTACAATATTTCCACTCGGGCCATATGGTCTATTCATTCGTCTGCTGTGGAAGGAGTTATGTTTTGCTGTAGTATGAAGACATGACTTTACTGCCGATCATTGGAGCTTCATCAACCTGCATGCAGTGGGAGGTACTAAGGAACATTGGCTGAGGTTGGAGTAGTTATGACATCTGGAATAATCTTACCTTTGGACTCTAGCATACAAGCAGAACATTTGACCTTTTAGCCATAACCCCTGTAAACCTCCTCCTGCATGAAGGGGGGCAATATGTGGCATATATTTGGAGTGTGGTCATTCGGTATGATTTTGAGCTAGTCCTCCCATCTTCTGATGCACATGGAGTTCCTGCACATTTGTCTCCATACTTCCGCCCACACCCCCCCGCCCCCTTCATCTCAAGTTGGAGGACTTAATTTCAATATCTTAAATTTATACAGCACTTTTCACACAGAAGGCGACATCTCAAACAAAGCACTTTATACAAAAAGAGATCAGTTAGATGTAAAGTGAATGTTGGGAACGTAAATGCAGACTCTAATTTACGCCAGCGATATCCTACAGTTGTGAGACGACTGGACAAGTCATTTGAATTGAGAGTGAATTTGAAAGAGGAGGGAATATGTCAGGATATCCAGCAGGATAAACTCCATTTTTTTAATGAAATGGGTCTCTTAGGATTACTGCCATCAGGTTTACGTCTACCATCAATAGTAATCATCCTTACATTTCATATAGCGCCTTTCATGTCAGGAGGATGTGGCAAAGTGTTTCGCAGGATTTACTTAAAAGTGTCGTGACTGAGTTTTTTGTAGGCTCCAACTCTCTCTGCACTTTTGTATTTTTATCCTGTAGATAAATTCTTCATTCACTTTGCAGCATCTTGTGGGATATTGCTGTGTGCAGTGTCTGCCTACAAATACCAGTCGCTACCCTTGACAATAATTACCTACAAACATTTTGAGATGTCATGACGTGAAAGGCACTGTGGTGGTTAGAGCAACTCACCTTGCAAGTGAGGGACCTGGGTTTGATTCCCGGCAGGGCGAAATGTTGGGCAAGTTTCCTTACTCCACATGCCTGTTTACCTAGCAGCAAGTAAGAACCCGGTTGTAAGTTGATTGGTGGATCACTTTTCCGGGGGTAATAATTCCTTTTAAAAAAAGTTTGCTTAAGGTTTCACACTGCCCGGGAATCTAACCCGGGTCCTCTCGCTTGCTTCAGAAACCATATGGGCTCTTAATACTGGGTCTAAATATCAACACTTGACAAAGCGTACTGCAGGAAGATGGCAATGAGGTCTAATTTACAGGTTATGCTAATGACTAGACCATGTGTCTGGAGAGAATTACATGTGCCTTTAATTTATAAAATTAACCAATGATTCTCCAACTTTTTATTGGTTAATTATATAATTACTGGTTTTATGTGGCTCATTTTTAACACACATAAACACAATCCACGAATCAGACCTTGGTTAAATTGCATTATTATTTGTGGAGTATTTTTGTAGACTAACAGCATCATTTCTGGGTTAATCCCACACTAGCAGTTTTTATAGTAAGTAAATCATGCTCACTTTGTGCTTGTTTCTGCAGGAGGAATATGAGATTCTTAAGCATTTATATAGTTTCACCAAGCCTGAATGTGATGAAGATGATGAGGTAATGTGAAATTAAATCAATTACGTTTTTTTGATAATGTGTAGCTAATTTAAAATCCAGTTACAACGATGGAATAATTTGGTTCCAAGATCTGTGCTTAGGTAATTTGAGCCAGTAATCAGCAACATGTACCTTCTGGCCCTCTAATGTTCTTTCTGAATACGTATGTAGAACATCCTGGCACCAGTGCAATTATTGCTGGTCCACTGTTGCTTGTGAGTAACCTCGCTGCTATACCCATAGAAGCCAGTGGCACTAATGTTCTTCGTGACTATCCCTGATGAAAATCTAAGCTGTATGTCCTGGAATAAGTAGTAGTTTCAACTATTTTGTATAAAGCACAGTTGCTAGTGCTGTACTTCAATCAAAGTTACAATGAAGGAATATGTGCCAGTGTGTCAGTTGGGAGCACTCTTGCTTCTGAGTCAGAAGGTTGTGGGTTCAAGCCCCAAGTTGGGACTCGGAACTCGTATAGTCTTTAAACCGAGGTCCCATTTTCCTGTACAAGTGGAAGTTAAAGATCCCATGACACTATTCGAAAAGAGAAGGGAGTTTTTCTCCCCAAAATAAAACTGGTCATTTACTTTGTGGCTGTTTGTGGGGCAATGCTGTGCGCAAATCGACTGTCACATTTGCCTGTAAAACACAGTCACTACACTTCACACTATATCATGTGAAACACTTTGAGACATACTCCCATTGTGAAATGTGCAATACAAAACACAAGGGTTATTATTATTCAAGAATTTTTTAACGAAAACTGCCTTTTCCAGTTCACTAGTGTTAAGCTAAGAAATTGTAAAGTCTAGTTGTGAAAGGAAGATAAATGAAATTAAACCTTTTGTGGAAAAGCAATAGTGAACCTGTATGTTTGTTGCATCTAGGAGGCTTTGGTAGATTGTGTGGAAGCTCGGACCAGACAACTGGAAGACATGGAAGCTGCCTTTGCAGATCTCTGTGATGATGACAGTGAGGAGACAGTACAGAAATGGGCAGGAAAGCCTGGGTAAATATAAATATATACCAATACTCACCTATCCTCCTACAATATCAGTTTCCCTTCATTTTTCATTTTTATTTTCATATCAGCTTTCAAGAGGGAGGTACAGACAGACAGACAGACAGACAGACAGACAGACAGACAGACAGACAGACAGACAGACAGACAGACAGACAGACAGACAGACAGACAGACAGACAGACAGACAGACAGACAGACAGACAGACAGACAGACAGACAGACAGACAGACAGACAGACAGACAGACAGACAGACAGACAGACAGACAGACAGACAGACAGACAGACAGACAGACAGACAGACAGACAGACAGACAGACAGACAGACAGACAGACAGACAGACAGACAGACAGACAGACAGACAGACAGACAGACAGACAGACAGACAGACAGACAGACAGACAGACAGACAGACAGACAGACAGACAGACAGACAGACAGACAGACAGACAGACAGAGACAGACAGACAGACAGACAGACAGACAGACAGACAGACAGACAGACAGACAGACAGACAGACAGACAGACAGACAGACAGACAGACAGACAGACAGACAGACAGACAGACAGACAGACACACAGGACAGACAGACAGACAGACCAGACAGACAGACAGACAGGACAGACAGACAGACAGACAGACAGACAGACAGACAGACAGACAGACAGACAGACAGACAGACAGACAGACAGACAGACAGACAGACAGACAGACAGACAGACAGACAGACAGACAGACAGACAGACAGACAGACAGACAGACAGACAGACAGACAGACAGACAGACAGACAGACAGACAGACAGACAGACAGGGTTAGAATCAATGGATCTCTGACTTAGGACTCTTACTATTGTGCTTGGATCCTTGACTTTGTCACAAGTGGGAGCAGATGCAATGGAGAACAAGATCTGGGAGGAGACAAATATTTATATTCTGTGATACAGATATGCAGTAGTTTATGGAGCTTTTGCTCTGAACAAAGTCGCACTGCGCCATTCCAAGAACAATTCAGACACAGAATATGGAGTTAACCGAAAAAGATGTCAGTATTATGGGAAATGTTGCATATTTAATGGAATTGATCATAAGAAAAACCTTCTAATACTATTTTTGTTTTCAGACGAAGTTGTAACAGAAATTGAGATTGTGTAGGCATGAAGGTTAATTTGCAAGGATCTTGGCATTTTTGCTTTGACATGAAATGAGATCGATAATGAGATAGATCGATATTAAAAAAAAGAGTAATTTCAACCTTCTGTGGCGAACAGAAGGTAAATGGGACTGAATGGATTGCTTTCCAAAGGCCAGTATAGATACTATGGGCCAAGTAGCCTTCTTCTGTGTTGTAAATTTCTATGATTCTGTAGCAGCCCATCGAGAGCTAACAAATTATACTGTCTAATAAAAATATAGTTGAGATTTGTCTAGTTGGAATTCCAAGCTTCATTGCTAGGGCTGCTGTAATGCACTCTATATCTGATTAGTTCTATTTCACAACGGTACCAGTTATATTTTTTGTTTCAATAATTGTATGTGTTTATTTGGACATGAACGCCTTATGCTAAGCCGTCTAAATTTGATAACTTCTGTGATTATAAATATTGATTTTAACAAATTAATTGGCCTTGTTTTGTAATTTTAATTGTTTAATGCATGCGTTTCTTGCGTATACTCCCTCCAACCATGAACAACAAATGACATTTGTATAGCGCCTTTCACGTCGGGAGGACGTCCCAAGATGTCAGACACATGAAGAAGCCTTGTACTGGCCCATAATTTAAATGTTGCCCTTGGGCCTAAGCTGCTGTTAATTTGTGACAAGCCGGGGAGAGCATGGATTTAACCCCCTCCTCAGTAGATCATTCCTGAAAAACAAACATTAGAAGAGGAAAATGAGCATGTAACTGCCCCAGTCTACAATTTCCATTTAAAAATAAATTCAGGACACCAAGCCGACGGCCTGTGCAGCCTATAGTCTGGAGAGACTTTGTTTTGATGCTGTGCGTTAGGAGCTATTCATTCTTGGTTTCTCATTGTTAATTCACCTTTATTTGTAGGATGGAGTTGCTCGCTCCGCTGGTGTGTAGTCTGAAGGAGAGGATGGGGTCGCCTGACTATGAGATGGTGATTACTGCATTCACTGATCTATGTTGGTCGAGCCAGACCAGAATCGGGCCAGACCTTTATCAACCACTGTAATCAGGTTGTATGTGGGAGGGGATATTCGATTCAGAATCCAATCCTGCCGTCATGTTCTACGTTCACATTTCTAGTAAGAATCACCAGACAGTTATCAGCAGCAAGAATGTGGGGGATCGTTTTTTTCACCTACTCCAGGCATAAGCGGTCAATTGCAGAATCTCCACAACCCTGGCAGTTTGCTTGGCTGCAAGGTTCAGTATATTTAATTTACTGAGCCAATCTGGGGAACGAGTTCAGTAACTCTAATGTAGTTCATATGTAGATTTCATAAAACATCTTGGGATAGCGTCTTGCGTGGGTTATAATCTTGATATTTTTAGAGTAAAGCTTAGACAAGCAACTTTATTGTGTTGCCAGTGAGACGGCAAGGCCTGAATGAGGTTTAACTTTCTCCAGTTAAATGTCGACAAGACAGAGGCTCTCCTTCTCACCTCACGCGCCGGCAGAATCAACGTCTGTCTTTCAAACCCCACATATATGCTCTGACCGGCTCAGCTTTCCGTCCTTCCTAAACGTTGTCTCCACCACTATCTCTCTCCTTGGGCTGCCAAGACCCTTGTCCAATCATTTATCATAACCAGGCTTTACTAAGCCAACTCTCTGCTCCCCAAACAAGCTGTAGATTATCCAGACCCTGCAGCCCATGTCCTCTCACACACCAGGTTGCCTGAGCCTATAATCTCCATCTCTGCTCATTCCACTGGTTCCATTCCCCATCAAATTGAGTTCATATACTCTTCCTCACCTACCAATCCCTCCACAGTCTCACTCCACCCGACTTCTACAACCTCCTCCCAACAACATTTGTATAGCTCCTTTCACGTCGGGAGGACATTCCAAGGCACTGGACAGACAGTTTCGGACCCGAGCTCGGGGTGGGGGAGGGTGGAGGGCAGGGGAAGAAGCAGGGAGATCGAAAGCACGGTCGAAGAGTAGGGTCTTGAAGGAGGCAAGGGAGGGGGCGAGGAGGAGGAACTACGGGGTGGAGTTCCAGAGGGTGAGCATAGAGTAGCTGAAGGCCCACCCGCCAATAATGGGGCGAGCAAGGCGGAGGAACGTGAAGCAGGCCGGAGCCCCCTGAGTGGAGGGAGCGAGCAGGAAGGTAGGGGATTAGGAGGTCACAGAGGTAGGGTGGAGCAAGGCCATTGAGAGCTTTGAAGGTGAGAACCAGGATCTTGAACTGTATCCTCTGTTTGATGGGAAGCCAGTGGAGTCGGGCGAGGATGGGAGTGATAGGGTCATGGTGCCAGGTGCGGGAGAGGACGTGGGCTGAAGAGTTCTGGATAATCTGCAGCCTGTGGAGGGAGGAGTTGGGGAGGCCGACAAGCAATGAATTTGCATAGTCAAGCCTCAATGTAATGAAAGCATGTATGAGGGTTTTGGCGGCCTGTAGTGTGAGACAGTGGCAGAGCCGGGCGATGTTGAGGACATGGGAGAAGGCAGAGCGGGTCATGGTGCAGATGTGGGATAGCTGAGGGTCGAACAAGACGCCAAGGTTCTGGACTGGCTTAGTAAGGTGGAGTGTGCAACCATGGATGGTGATGCTGTCAGCGCCTGAGGTGAGGAGGCGGTGACCCAGTGAACACTGCCTCATGCCCTGTCTTATCCACCCCACCATCGGCAGGCAGATTTTCAGCTCTGACTTAAACCTCATTCAACCTCATTTAAACCTCCCAAACCTAATTCAAGATCTGTCTCACGACTTATCTCTGACATCTTTCCCCTCTCTGTGCCCCTCTGCTTCCACCCCCAGCTCAGGTTACCAGTTAGCAGTGTCAAGCGCTTTGGGATGCCCTCCTGACATGGAAGAACCCATGTAAATGTAAATTTATATTGTATTGGTATAATTTACATTGAGCACCTTCTGATTTGGTTTCTATTTACAGATCCATCAAGCTGGATTGACCTGTGATTATTCTGAACTGCCACACCATGTTAGCACTGAGGAGGAGATAAACAGTTTGATGTTATCTATACAACAACTGCTTAAAGACTTGCCCAGGCCAATCCTTGTCACTGTTGCAAGGTGTGAAAGAATTTTTAATTTAATACAATCTCTGCTTAAAATGATGAACAATGCTTGTTCTGTGAATCTCAATTGCTAATCAATGTTCTAATATCCCAGGTCCAGCTTAGATGATTACTGTCCTTCTGATCAAGTAAACTCCATTCAAGAGAAGATGTTAAATGTGTTGCACTCCCACTATGGGTCTTTGGACATCCATTTGGAATACTGACTGTTAGCATCTTCACACCCCCATCAAAATATCTGCTGCTGATATCTTCTAATTGGTGAAGTAGAATTTTATTTAATGAATAAATTATAGTTTTAAAATGAATGGTGCTAGTGTGAGCGTGTTATTGATAATGTTCTATTCAGCAAATCTTTTAATTATCCTTTCCAATTCCAAGGTTTGTTTTTGCTGGGTGCCTGAAACCTGCAGAAACCAATCACCGTGCTTAATAGTATCCAAACCAAACCAAATTCCAAACTGAGAATTCCATGCATCCCACATATACTTGGAAATTGCAGAGATAGATTATTGAAATGGAATGCACACTTTCTCCCTGGAGGGACGCATTCTGCCTTACTTATTTTTAAAACGTATTAGGCACAGGTTGGCAAGGGTCAAGGCTTGGGGACCCCAGATTGTGCGTTGGGATACTACTGGAGTCTTAACCAACTAAAACCATTTAGTTTGCTATTGATAGCACAGTTTGGCAAGCCTTACCACTGCTTTCCCACTGCTTGTCCAGCTAGTACCACCCTACTGTTAGGGCTTTGGCTTGCAGGGTTAACAGGAGGTGAGTGGGAGGATTCCCTGCTCCCAGTGACTGGTCTGTCCTGCCAACAAGCCAGGCTGGCTATGCTGTCATCAGCAGTGCCCTGGAATACTGCAGACCTGCCTCACTCAGGAACCGGATGATCAAGACTGCCACAGAGAGCCACAGAGGCTCAATTCCGACATCCCATTATTAAGCATGTCAACTTGGAGCTATTTCAGCTCCAAGGACACCCTGCTTACCTCCCCCCACCACCACCAGGAAGACAGTCACTAGTTGGTTGGTTGACATCCAACAAGCATGGGTTTGAGCCTTCAATATTATCTAGTTCTTTCAACTAAATAGTCACTAAAGCAAATATTTTCACAATTGTACATTTCTTATTTTAGCTGTTTAGTGTTGGAGGAGCGTATGTAAAATGTGAGCATGTCCATACAGAGACATTGAAGTAAGCGTAGACTGGAGAACCATTCCTGCTGGTTGGGAGGGTTGCAGTGTTGCAAGATGTCGACTGACATCACACTTGACTTCTATTCTCCTCGTCATCTCTCTTCCTTGCTCCACCTTGGTGGCTCTGTAGATTTATTGTTCCAATCCTGCCTGTTACTGCATCTCCCATAATGCCTTATTACCCTGTTTCTGCACAATTACCCCTGGTGTATCCCGAGGCCTCTCGTCTTAATGGATTAGTTTTGCCTTAATACCAATGAGCTGATCATCTGGCATTGTAAAGGACACCAAAAGGACACTAGAGGGAGTTGTTGTCTGTCAGGTTACTTTTAATATCAGACCTTCTCTGTAATACTGTAACTACATCTAGGTATCTGTATCCACTAGGTGGCACTTTCTGAGCAAATATTTTCCATTCATCTGATTTTTACCTTTTCACTTTTTTTAAAGTAAAAAAAAACTAAGAATAAAGTACAGTACATGTTTTTCCATGAATAATATTCCTCCAGTGAATTAGAATACCGGAACCAGTACTTCAGGCTGTATTTATACTGCTATAATTAGATAATTCAGTTTCCAGCACTCAAGCGATGTGGAGCTGGGAGGCTAGTTTATAGTTTGTGCTTCATGTTAATAATAATAATCCTAGCATTTGATCCAGCGCTTATCATGTTGTTGGTGATATCATGTCGTTGAGATGCCTCAAATCGCTTCACAGCATTTTACTGTAAATCGCTTCACAGGAGTGACTGTGTATTTTGTGGGTGAAACACCGCAGCCAGTTTGCACAAAGTAATGTCCCAAATACAGCCATGGAGTGAGTGACCGATTTTATTTGGGGGTTTGGCAGTCAGGACACTAGGGGCGAGAAACTCCCTTCGTTTTTTAGATAGTGCTGCAGGATCTTTAATGTCCACCTGAAGAATCAGACAGGACCTCAGATTAATGTTTCATCCAAAGGACGGCACCTCCGACAATGCTTCAAACCCCAGCCCTGCAAGCTTGCATTTGTCTGCTCATGTAGGAGGAATCCTATTTGAAATGAGTTTGAGCAACCTCCAGTGAGTTACCAGTGAGTGTAGCCCACAGGAAAAAAAAATCTCCACATACAGCGGTATTTGGGACTAAACTGGAAATGTCATCATAGGAACTAGAATCCTGGTGTGGGAAATAGAAATGTCACTGAAAAAGTTTTTTTCTTTATGTTATGCATTATCCAGAACACCTTCAGTGCTGCAGAAGATGTTCTGGGTAATGCATGACATAAAGAAAAAGACTTGGGATTTTTGTAGTTCTTTATTTTTTTTACCCAGAGAGTTGTTACAGTCTGGAATGCACTGCCTGAAAGCGTGGTGGAAGCCGATTCGATAATAGCTTTCGAAAGGGAATTGGGTAGTGTTAGATTGACTAAAATATATAGAAATTATAACACATTATAGGAATTATAAAATATTAGTTTAAAACGTTAAGAGAACGCTGAGTCTGTTGGTTCCAGGTGCTGGGAAAAGCAGACACAACCTTTAGTCCTGGAGTATGAGGTAAGGCTCATCCTGAAATGGAAGACCCTGAGCCTGATACCAGGACAGTGGAATGTGTGTCTGAAAGCGTTTCTTGTAAACTAGTCACATTCTCAAGGACAGTACTGAGATATGGTGAAGCCTGTCTCAATTATAGATGGCCAAAAGAAAAAAACCTTGTTGATCAGGTTAGACAGGACAAAGGAAGAATAAAATTCTGGAGACCATAATCTTATCTGGCCAGAGCAAAGGTTAGAGGGGAATTTAGTACAATTGGGGTGCCACCGAACAGAGGTGTGGAAGCAGAGAGAGAGAGAACATGAGTATTGCAAAAGCTTGAGCCTGAGAAGCCGACACGAAAGACTGAAATCAGCCTACAGACTACACAGAACTGGTAGCATGACTATTTACCTCTTTTGCTGTATACTCATAAACTGTTTGTGAATAATAAACCATTATACCTTTATTAAGGATTGTTGAGTCATTATTCGTATCCTCGGGATCGGTATATCCCAACAATAGGTACTTCAAAAAGAAAAATTTGCAGGGCTATAGGGTAAGAACGGGGGAGCGGGACTAGTTCGTAGCACTTTCAAAGAGACGGCACAGGCAGGATGGGCCGAATGGCCTCCTTCTGTGCTGTAAAATTCTTATCATTCTATCATTCTATGTATCACATCCAAACATCTTAAAACGCATACTATCACAGACTGTCAAGGCAGTGATTGTTTTTGTAGGCAAGTGTGGCAGCCATTTACACAAACAGTTATGAGAACTACGGTCAATTAATCTTGAGGATTGTCAGCCTTCTCTTTTTCAACAGTCTCATGGGATCTTTAAAATCCACATTTAGCGCAGAGTAGAAAAACTTTACCATACATCTAATTAACTTCACTAACTCAGGCGTGCTTGATGATGGTTGGAATATCTCTGCATAGATGTTCTTCTGTTACACAAGGGCACAAAACACCGACTTCTTTAAAAAAAATCTTATTGGAACTCGAGTTTGGCATCTCCGCGATCCTCAAACAAGTTTGGTTCAAGCGTAGAAATTAGGACATATGTGAACAAACTGTTGAGCTTTATTTCCTCTGAACTTCTTCATTAGATCGGTATTTTATTACAAAGAATGAAGTTAGAGCAATTTAGAAAGATGTGAGATCTTGCGGTTCAGATAACTTGTAATTTATGGTGCCATCTGAATTCTTTGGTGTGTTCGTCTTACTACACACTCCTAGTTCTCTACTGGAATTATAAGTTTATGTGCAATAATTGGTAATTTGTTAATTATTTTCATATAAACCTGTGGTAATTACATCAAATGTGGAATAGTTTCCTGTGAACGCAATTGTGTTCTCCGAACTTCTGGGAAAATGTAACTTCAATCCAAATTGTGTTAACCGTTCAGCCGCCTTCCAGCGAATCAGATTGCAGTGAAACCAATTAATAGTGAAAGAAAATCTGATGTCTTCATTCACTTATGGCTTTTACCAACCTGCGCCCAATACTGTCTGGAATTAGGTAAGCAAGGTGACCCCTTCCAGGGCTAGAGTGCGTGTTCCATTCCAAACACAGGAAATTCCCATGTGCGGGTGGCATACATATGTGGAACTCTGATTTGGGTACTCTGAAGTAAAGTGATGGGTTTCCTCATGTTTAAAACACTCAACTGATCATGTTGGGAGGACATCTCAAAGCACTCTATAAGTCTAGTGATTGTGCATTTTGTAAGTGAATGTAGTAAAATACAAAATTACGTTTGTATAGCGTCTTTCACATCAGTAGGATGTCCCAAAGCGCTGGTCAGTCAGGGATTTGGACCCGAGCAGGGGTGTTTGGGACAAGTGGGTGTGGAGGGCACGGAGGGTAGGAGGGTGACCGAAGATGCAGTCGAAGAGGAGGATCTTGAGACGTGCCTTGAAGGAGGCAAGGGAGGGACCGAGGTGAAAGTTATGGGATGGAGGTCCAAAAGGTGGGTACAGAGAGGCTGAAGGCTCAACCGCCAATGGTGAGATGGGCCGGGTGGGGGACGTGGAGCAGGCTGCTGAGCTGAGGGAGAGGACAGTTTCATATGGGGTTAAAAGATCTCAGGTAGGCAGGAGCAAGGCCGTTGAGGGCCTTGAAGGCAAGGACGAGGATTTTGAAATCTATCCTCTGGGGGATGGGAGCCAGTGGAGCCAGGCAGCCAATTTGCAGACAATAATGTCCTACAAACAGCCGTGAAGTGAATGACCAATTTTATTGGTCATTGTTAGCCAGGATACCAGGAGAAACTCCCTTCTCTTTTCGAATAGTGCTTAGGATCTTTAACATCCAGCTGAACAGGCAGATGGGACCTCAGTTTAACGTCTCATCTGAAGGACAGAAACCCTGACAATTCAGCAGCACTTCCCCAACACAGTATTGGAGTACCAACCTAAATTATGAACTCAAAGGTCCGAAGTGGAGCTTTGACCCAGAACCTTCTGACTAAGAGGCAACTGAACCAGATTAATACAACAACAACAACAAGATTGCATTTATAGAGAGCCTTTCACAACAGGAGGACGTCCCAAGGCGCTGGACAGTTGGGTCGGGACCCGAGCAGG